AGCGCCGGCGAGCCTTCCGGTCGTCTTGGTGAACTGCTTCGCCGAATCCACGTTGCCCAACCGTTGGGCGGCGTCACTCGCGAGACATCTATTCCAGAAGCAGTGCTTAACAAGAAGAAGTACGACAAGGAAGATCCTGACAGGCCGCTCCTCGAGCGTGACCTGGAAGAAGAGAATGGTGGAGCTGGTGTGTACAACATCGACCTTCGCAAGAACTACCTTCTCGAGAACGACGAGTGGAAACATGATCGCATTCCCGAGGTCTTCAAGGGCCAGAACGTTTACGACTTCATCGACCCTGACATTGAGGCTAAGCTTGCCGCACTTGAGGCTGAAGAAGAGAAGCTGGAGGCTGAGGGTTTCTACGAGTCGGACGATGATCTGGAGGACGCAGAGGAGGCGGACATTAGGTACAAGGCAGAGCTCATCCGTGAGAAGAGGCAACTCATCCGGAACGAAGCCAAGATGCGCAAGAGTCTCAAGAACAGGGCCGTCATTCCCAGGACTAAGAAGGCGAAGCAGATGTCACAGATGGAATCGCATCTCGAAAGTCTTGGCTACGATGCTTCAAAGGCGGTTGAGCGTACGACTGCAAAGGCAGAGGCGCGAGGCCGCAGCTTGGCTCGTGGAAGATCAGAGGGTCCCGGTGGCGATGCCATGGACGTTGATACGCCCGGCGCTGCTATGCTTGAGCGTGCTAAGAGCCGAGGCCGCAGCCAAAGCACCAACAGGAGAACGGATGGTGTTACAAACGAGACTGCCGCCTCTAAGGCTGAGAAGCTGGCCAAGCTGTCGCAGAAGAAGATGAACAGGATGGCTAGACAGGGTGAGGCCGATAGGCACCAGACTGGTTCCTTGATCAAGCATTTGGTAAGTTTCTTTATTCTCTCCTCCCTATTCAGTGCGGGTGCTAACAATTGTTCAGACTGCCGGAAAGCGTGGTATCGGAAAGACCAGCCACAGATAAGCAGACCTGAAGTCTTTCGAGTTCTTGCATTGCGTGTTTGCAGGTGGGGAAAATCATGGCTGGCGTTTGGGATGCATTAGATACCAACTCGCTGTTGTTGAAAGCAGCGTGGTAATGCAATACTTCTTTCCATCAGTACTGCATCCTGGACCAGTGCCGTTGTGTGACCTCGTGGTTGGAAAAGAACTGCTGGAATGAATATCGACGCATAACATGACAATAGCATGGCAAGACTAATGCAGGGAGCGTAAGATCGTTATGTATGTCCGTATGATACTATGGGGAAATCATCATCTACCTTTACGTCTGAATAGGCTCATGGTGATGTGCGATCACGATTCGGAAGTCGCGCTGCTAGGACAAGATTCATATCAAACTCTCCTTGTTCATATATAAAGACAAGGCAGAAATGTAGACGATACACGTAGTGTAGGAGACCTATGCAACATACAGTGTAGCTGCTCTAACAGGCAATGAGACGTACTCTCGCATTCATCAAATGTTTCATGTGTACCAAGCTGCTCACTGAGAAGAACTATACACTCATCTTCATGGATATAGCGGCATGTGGCTTGTACCCCACGACCTCAAATTCCTCGGCTTTCCAACCATCGATGCTGCCCCCAATCTCTCGATTGATCTTGAGTGTAGGGAACTCTCGCGGTTCGCGCTCCAGCTGCACCTTGAGCGCATCTATGTGGTCGATATATACGTGTGCATCGCCCATTGTATGTGTAAATGTACCGGGCGTTAGGTCGCACACATGAGCTAGCATGTGGGTGAGAAGCGCGTAGGAGGCGATGTTGAAAGGTACACCGAGACCCATATCGCAGGATCTCTGGTAGAGGAGGGAATGTAGGACGCCTCTTGGTCGTTCCTCGCCTTGCTTGTGTCCCGGGAAGGAAACATAGAATTGCGCAAACATATGGCAAGGTGGCAAGGCCATCTTCTTGATATCTGCGGGATTCCATGCACTTAGTATGATGCGCCGGTCGTAGGGCTTGTTCTTCAACTTGTCGATTATCTCAGCGAGTTGGTCGACACCTTGGCCTGTGTAATCCTCTGCATGTCCCTTGTACTCGGCGCCAAAATGCCGCCACTGGAAGCCGTATACTGGACCCAGCTCGCCTTCCTCGTAGTGGTTTAGGCCCACCTTGTCGAGGTACTCCCGACTGCCGTTGCCGTCCCAGATCTTGATACCAGCGTCCGAGAGAGACTTGCTGTGTGTGCTGCCTGCGACAAACCATAGCAACTCGCCAATTACGGCACGAGTAAATACTCTTTTTGTTGTGAGGAGGGGCAGGATGAGTTCTGGTGGCTCTGTGGGGTTGCTCGAAGGTCGCGATAATGCGAACTTCATTTGTGCGGGAAAAGGAATTGCGCGTGTGCCGGTTCCTGTCCTGTCGGGGCGATGTTCGCCATTTTCGAGTATATCGCGGATCAAAGAGAGGTATTGTTGCTCCTCGTGCGCGGGGTTGCTGGGTAGCGGTGTAGTTTGCTTCGTGGTGTCTTTGGGAGGCTCGGGAGTTATGACGGGTTCTAGCGCGCTTGGAGGCATGTTTACTACGGATCGGAGACTTGTATGTATGTATTTGGGTGCTGTGGTGTAACGTCAAAGTGAAAGTCGCGAGGCGCGTCAAAATCTCCCAAAACCGCGACTGCGCGAGTGGCTCTTGCGGCTCACCGTATCGAATGCTCCGACCTAACTGCATTCGCATCTGCCACAAAACACCGACACTGGAACACACCCTCTGATAGAATGGCAGAAGAACAAGCAGCTCATCACTTGCTAAACGTAGTCGAGGAGCGAGGTCTCAAAGTCGATCTCGATAACATTCTCCTAGGTTTTGAGGATGTGAAGACCAAGCACGAAGCTGCGGTGTGGGTTGAGGAGTACCTACACGAGGACACCCTGCTCAGTAAAGAGGAGCTAGAATTGTGAGTCCAAACTCTGATTATACAGGCTTTTGCTGACTGAGTCTAGGTACCAGACTCTCAAGAAGAAGGGCCTTTTGCACCAGTACGAAAGCGAAGGTGAACCCATCCGACCCATTTTGGATCATGAAATTGCTGCAGCAATTGAATCATTGAGAAGCTCCACTACTGCGATTGAGGAGCAGTCCAAAGTTTTGGAGGCACAGAAAGATGCTCTGATGAAGTTAAAAGCTCTTGACAAGCCCAATTTGGATGTCGAACATGCAAGAAACGAGCGGAGAAGGAAGGAGGGACAAGAAAAAACTCGTCTAGACGTCTCTGTATGTTGTGACAAATTACAAACTCAACTTTTCTAATACGCATAGGTCGATGATGTAGTTGCATCCGTCACAGAGCAGATGGACGATGCTCAGCGCGAGATTGATTCTGACAAGTCAACACTGAAAAGCTACCTCTCGGAACGCTTCACGTCAGACGATCAGATCTTAAGCCGACTCCCTAAGCTAGTGTCTCAGATCGTCACTGAGCCTGAAGTCAGCGAAGACGAGAAGTCGATGGAGCAGTGGTGCAAGGCGATTATTTCCTTTCGTGCTGCAGAGATCAAAGCTCGAGTGGATACTGTGTTTCTCACCAACGCATTAGCAGACTCCCAGAACGGTCTTTCCGAGGAAGCAGAGGCCAATCTCAAAGAGAGAAAGGTCGCCCTGCAAGCTGAACTGGAAGAGTTACACTCTGAAATCGCATCTGTCGCTGAAATGGTTGTCGAGCATGAGATACGCAAGCCGATGACTGAAATGAAGGAGCGTAAAGATAGAGACAGAACACAGGCACGAACTGCGTGGCTCAACTATGTGAGTAACATCCCAAGAGACATTGGACTGTTGCTAACAAACTAGGTGCTCTCAACACTCGAATACATGGGCAAACGTCTCAGCATAATCAACACTGGCACGCAAGATACTGACGAGTTCCAACAAGCACTGGCGCACGTCCAGGCAGCAGCAGCGAAGCGCACACCAGAGACACAGGCACTGGCTGCGACACCCGGATTGAAACGCATGAACTCCAGCACCTCGGCTTTTACTCCCATGGTCAAGCTCAAGCCTACATCGACGCTTGAGCTTCCGGTAGCACTTCAAGATGCGCTTCGTCACGCAGGCATATCTTTCAGTCAGGATAACATCGAAAGCCTACAAGATGTTCTGCAGCAAGCTCAACTTGAGCGGGGCAAGAAGCTTCAAGATCACTATGAATCTACCGCGACATCGATTCATGACGGACTCGCTGAGCGATCCAGCAAAGCAGACACAGATCTGAGGGCTATTTTGAGCGCGCTATATAAGCACGCGCCATTCCAGCAGGCTAGCTTGATGAACCCAGAGTTGGACGAGCAACTGAAGGCGATGGAGCTTGAGCTTGAGAATAAGGACCGAGAGTTGCTGGATGCAGAAGGTAGCGAACTAAGCTTGAGCGACCCTAAAGTTCGTGCGTTCATCGGGAAATACGGTAAATAAAGCGAAGGTTTTGACAAGCAGGTTTCAGGGCTGGTCGGTGCGTTGTCGCGGTGGAGCTGACAAGTCGAGCTGGGATGATCCAGGCGCGTATCAAAGATGGAGTAAACACGACGTGGAGATGTTGTTTAGATGTTGTTTACAGCGCCGAGAAAGCTCTCTTGATACAAGGTCAAAGTGTCTCTCTTCACCGCTTTCGATCTGCTTGGTGAACATGATCAGCTCGTCGGTTGCAAGCGATGGAAGCCACATGTTCGCGGGTGGAGCTATGGGGGAGGAAGGACCTCGGACTGGTCGCGAGGAGTGATGAGCTGCAGCTAGTCGGCCCCCATGTGGCTAGCACCCAGCCCCCGAATAACACTAAACATCATCGGCCCCTGTCAAGGCTGCCCTGAGTAGCTGACGGACAACAACTCTGCTCTCCTCACAAACTCACCAAAGCGTCTATCCCCACTTTCGCAGCCGGTTGAACCTGCGCGGGATGCTCGCGCCAGGTACAGGCAGAGACGCAGGCCCTCATTCACTCAATTGAACCATCACCATCACCTTGCCGGTAGCTCCCTGGAGCTATCCTCACACCGCCCGTCATGGTTAAAGGAGAGATTCTCACCCTCGGTGCTGCCGCTGGTGCCCTTGGAGGTGCTTATAAGCTTGCCGAATTCCTTAATAAGGCTAAACGCGTCCGCGACGTCGGTCCTTCCAATGCAGTCTATGTGCGCATCATTGGCCGCGTCCAATCCGACCTTGATGAAGTGAGACGTCTTCTCTCCATCCGCGAGATCCACGACATCCTCGAAGCCAACCCTGAGAAGTCCAAATGGGTCTACGGATGCATGCGCGATGTGCGCGGCGCTCTCGAGAACATCACGCCGCACACGGAGCGCGTCGCTGGCGATATCCAGGACGGTCGCCGTATCGGTGTCAGGCACCGCGTCTACTGGCTGCTCAGCGAGAAGGAGAAGCTGGAGAACAGAGAGAAGGAGCTCAACATCGCGCAAGCCAGTCTCAGCGCGGTGCTCGGCTACTTGACTGCTCTGGAGCCGTACGAGGAGCCGCATAAGCCCAAGTCCAAGAAGGAAACTCATATCGACATCGACATCCACCAGGAACCTCCCCAGCCTCAGGCCCAGCCTCAGCCTCAGCCGACGCACACAACGCACATTGACCGGGAAGTCTGGGTCGAGCGTGACGGTGCGCCGCCTCGTCATGTAGAGGAACACCGCGATGTCTGGGTTGAGCGCGACCGTCATCCTGCAGCCCACTACGAGGAGCGTCGCGACGTGTACATCGATGAGCGCGAGCGCGGACCTCAACACTACGACGACCGCGGTCCCGCTCCCCGTTACGACGCTCACTTTGAACACCAAGGCCGCGATGCTCGTTACGAGACTCAGTATGACGAGCGCTTCGAGCAGCAAGACCACTACCGCTCGCAGTACCCTATTGAGACCCAAGGCAACTACAACCAGACCCGTCCCTTCCCTGAGCCCCTCGGCCGCCGCCCTGAATCGTTCGAGGACCGTCTTCCCGAGCGCGACTCCTGGATGCAGAGCAATGCGCGCGCCAACCAACGCCCAGGTCAGTACGCCCCCCGTGGGTACGCCGAGTACGGTGCACCGCAACCCATCGGCGCAGCCCATTATTCGCGTAGGTTTCAAGGAGACGCGGGCTTTGGCGACGAAGAAATACTAAATCCACAACCAGTGCCGTTGGACAGGCAGTACGCCGAACGTGAGGTGAGTGGTTACAACACTGGCTACCCGCCCCGTTACGGTAGCAAGCTCTAGATGTTAGCATGAGGCTGACATGCGGGCAGATGTGGATCGAACAAAAGGAGGATTACCGGTTCGATCAGTACGGAAATAGGCTGCCGGATAGGCTTTTCCAGCCGGCTGTGCCTAGGCCCTATCGCAGCCGCATGTAAACTGCAATACCTCTTGGATACGATTAATCTCCTTTTCACTGTCACGAGCCTTTTTGTCTTTTGTTACCCCCCCGCGCCCGATGTTTCTATGTAGCTGCAAATTCAAGTTGATACCTTCCTACCAGTCGCTCTTCCCTCGTTTACTTACCACGTGGCTCGTTGATCACCTAACCACTGTCGTCGCTTCCTCTCGAAAACGCGACATCATAATCGTACAGAGTATGCAACACAGACACATCTCTCCTACAAGAGGGAATCGCATCATGGAGCCCCCTCGCCCCCGACTTTGCAACCACGGTACTCGTCGAACCGCTACCAGATAACAATACGACCCTGAGAATCTGGGAGCCTGCCACTGCCCTTGAAGCATTCCTGCTCTCCTGCCATCGTCGTTCATCACCCTTTCCAGTATTCAGGACATTGACCTGTAACTACACGACACCCTACAGACATCCATCCCGACCATCATGGCACGAACTACCTCGTGGGAGAAGATACGATCGTGCTTCTTCATGTTCGTTCGCGCAAAATCCACACGCTGGCCTAACAGCACCCGATCCGCAACCGATGCACTCCTTGCTCTGTCTATACTCATCGCTGTAGCACAGTTCGGTCTCTGCGCCGCCATGGCGCACTGGTTGCTTAGCTCACACCGCGAGGTTCAGTGCTGGAACGTGAGCAGCACGAGAGATCTGGACTTCAACGGCTTTGGGCTAGGGTCCAGACCATCGGACTTCGTATTCCAGACGGAGACCAAGAGCTTGCCGCTTACCTATGCAAACTTGGACAAGACCTTCAACGTGGAGAGAGCTCAAGAAAACGGAGAAGGTCTGTCAGGGCCTGAGTATCTGAGTGCTGGAGCCATTGGTGGGACATTGTAGGTTGTCTTGTTCATCTGTTCTACTGCTATAGGCACGAAGAGATGCTAATCGATGTCTCCATAGCACAATCATCGCGATCCTCGTTTTCAACCCTCTGTTGCTGGTTATTGACCTTTTGCTCCTGCTTCGAAGCCACTACCGGTCCGCGCGAATCTCCAACCGTGCTGGCATGCTCTGGTCTATGTGCTTCTCGATTTATTTCCCCCTGGTTACTCTAGGTGCTGTTTGGCTAGATAGCTTTCCTAGCAACAAAATCGACGACAGCTACGATACGTGCTGGCAATATGACAAGACAATGAATGTGTTGGAAGGGCGGAGCCGATGGGCAAAGGGTATCGTACGAGGATGTGAGATCTTGGGAATGCTGGGAGCGTTATGGTAAGTCTGAAACACCACGTGGACTCGAATCACTAGGACCTCAGCTTACCAGCAGCAGCATGGTTGCCTACTTCGCATTCGCTCTCTTTGCCGCGTACATGAATCAACGAGCCGATGTGCAACAGTCGATCAGACTAGACGATCTTAGTAACCCTTCGTCCACTACCCACACTGACAACCACCGTGATCTACCATCTGCTGGCCTCGGCACTCGGGCAGGCCCCATTCGGATGAACAACTTCGGCATCACATTCATAGATGCTACCCCAGGCTCAGACAGCCAGTCCAGAACTGAAAGGTGCCGGCAAAGGCCGTGTGAGGATCAAGAAGTTCTGACAAATCCCTTCGCAGATCCTGAAGACCCGTATAGAGGCGGGGTGGGGAGTCAGAGGTCAGACAGTGGAGATAAACAATCCTGAAAAAGTGCTACTCGACAAGCAGGCAGCAGGGATAGGTATTCATCAGTCCCTCAATTTCTCGGCACACTCATCGTAAATTCGGTCCTGTAGCTAAGACGTATATGATGAACTGTAGATTTCATTGGTCACATTACAAGCGCTTCCAAATGTTCAGCTTCTTCCACAGTCCGACGATATGTCTCCTCTTCATAACAGCCAGGCTGACTAACGAGTGACTAATTGTTGCAATGGAGTACTCGAACAATGGGGAAATGCGCTAATTGATTGCCCGTCAGCGCGTACAAGAACGACGCTACCTTCTCGGCAAAACTGGCGTGAAAGAGACTTGAACAACGATGGAGTCGTCTGGTACTGAACAAAGGAATCAGCCAGTTGCTCTCTTATGTCTTTGTCACTCGCATCAATTCCTCTTTTTACTCGTCTCTGGCTTTGTTCATTGATTTGGAGGAAATGGTACATATGATTCCAGGGTGCAACTTGCATTTGTGGCCGTCCACAGCCCTTCCAAATCTCAAGGCCTTATCTTCCAATAGCAAACAATAAGGTGTCAGTCATGTCTAGCGACAACGGTCAACGCCCTCCAACCGCCGGAAACACTGGTAGAGATGACCCACCACCCGCTTCGCGCCCGTTAGAAACCAGGGAAGATATTATCAACAAATGGCTCAAAGATAACTACATCGACTACAATCATCTGGGAACCCCTCTTGCGCTCAAAGTAGATGAATTCATCAAAATTGTTGCAACTCAATCTACAGACCCTGACAATAGTTGGCTAGACAACAATGCACTGGAACTGGCTGCAGTCATTTTGACGATTGAACTGAAAAACCGAAGCGATATAGTCATCGTGCCATCAAGCGCCGCCATCAGCCTGGCCCGCATCGGTCAGTGTATGTGCGGCAAGGATGAGTTTGAGAAAGGTGTTCTTTCGACCGGATGTTATGCTGCTATGAAGAAAGAGAACGTACGATGGATCGTTGTTCCCGTGACGGATGGTATGATTAGCAGAGACGAAAGCTCAATACCTGGGGGCGGCAGACATTGGGGCTTCATGATAATTGACAAGCAGAGAAATGATGCCAGATGGTTAGACGGCCATGTGACACTTGAGAAGAACCGCAAGGGCAAGTGGTGTATAACAAAAATGTATGGTGCAGGACGGGTTGCTGGTAAGATTCTCTGTGGATACGAAAAAGTTATGGATCTCAAGCGAGGGCAATTCACAGCAGCAACACTCAAACATGTCCCTAATGACACCAAAGAAAATAGCTATAAGTTCGATCAAGGCTCAGCGTGTGGACCATGGGTGTTCGCTATGCTTGAATATATACTCGATCACCCGAATTTTCTCACATGCGCGGATGGACTCTACGGCATATTTAGGCACAAATACAGGCAGCGGCACGGGAAAGCCATGGCCTTTCACTCATTAGCATCGCGCAAGCGCATACAGGAGATTATTCGGGGCGTGGCGGACAGCAACCTAGGAGATGATGTATTGCCGTACAAGATGAGTACGCGCATTTTGAAGATTCTCAACTATCCTAGCACTGTCGATCTGTTGGTTGGAATCAATTTCTTTAATCGAAGCAAGACATCTCCACCTGAACGTGGCCATAACGGAAATTCGGAGAAGGGGCTTGATGACGATGACGATGACGATAACGACAGCGACGATGATAGCGACGATGATAGCGACGATGATAGAGAAAACAGCGATGAAGCGGACGAAGGTCTGCAAAAGGCAATTGAAGAAAGTTTCCATTCTAACAAAAAGAATTCGGCACAAGGACCTCAAGGAGCTCAGGGTCCTACGAAGTCAAGGAAGCCTTCAGAGCCCCCAAGCAAGCCTCCGTCCTCCGAGCAAGCGACCTTTAATGTGATATATGAGGTCTTACTTCCCAAACATATCCCAAACTTCGAGCCTATGACAAGCGAGGAAGTTCAAGAGTGGGTCGATCGGCTTCCGTCCAGCACTAAAACTCGTACGAGCTTGATGAATACGTGGGGTCAGAAAGCTGTTCTCCAAAAGCTATTCGGTGGTTTTGATGAATTATCCCAAACGCAACTGCGGTCTTGGCGGGAAAAGGATCCACTGTTCAAGGATAGCCACGGTGTGGAAATCGAACATGTAACTACAATGCTGCAAGATAGCGTCAAAGACATAAGGGACATCTCGTTACAAGGAGGGATAATTTATTACCCTCTGAGCTACCTGGAAGACTTCGCAGTGCGAAACACAGTAGATCAAGCAACATTAGAGGCGGGTACAAAACTCGGGAACGACAATTTGGATGATGAGGATGGTGATGACATCTTTAATTACGACTATGAGGCCGAAGAAAACGATCCGATCCTACCACAACCTAAAGAACCAAGTGAGCAACCATCAGGCGTGGATACCTCTATTAAGCGGAAGCATGTGAAGGACAACGCCGATGCACCCACAGCGAAAAGACTCAAGCCGTCAAGACCAGACTTTCTAACGATGAAAGATTCCGAGCTACCCCTCTGGCTTGCGAGCGTACCTGAAAAGAAGAAAGCTCCGCTGCTCGACTCTGGAAGGAATTTGATTGATCCAATCCGTGCACGAATTCACCTCGAGGGCATATTCAACGGTACGTTCCGAGAATGGGCGGCCGAGGAGTCTTTTTCTGAGATAAGCAAGGAAGAGATCAAGGAATGGAGAAAGATGGTAGACGGTGGAAAGGGTTTTATTAAGGATTTGGTACCGTAGCGACGATGCAGGCCTGAGAAGATTTCTGGACAAGAAACTGTACCCACGGGAAATGACATATTTACCGGATTATAGCCAGGACGAGACGAAATGGCCTGAGCATTGGAAGAAAGGAAAGGAGTAAAGGCGCTGGGAAGTGATAGAGCAGTTTGCTTGTTTGTCTTTCTTTCGATGCATACAAACATGATATCAGGCTTCATATGTACAGTAGCTTGTACAAAATTGTAAGATAATAACGAACTTGTTGGTCGTTTTCGGTTTGATTGAGACCTGAACATGTGATGGCTCACAGGCTGCTCTGTAGTGATGAGTCGAAGGACTCGTGTACACCTATACTAAAGATGTGTTGAAGCCACTCTTTGTCATCTAGGTGTGATCAGACTCTCACTCACGGCATCTGGGAGTGTAGCAAACTTACCTTTTGCCGCAACATGCCGAGAAGACGATAACTTGTTTTGGTTTGCTGTCCTGTTTTTGGGCGCGAATGAGAAGGCCTGTTCAGGACTTCACTTCCCGACGGGCGTGATCTTGGGTAGCGCGTCCCGCAGCTCTTCCCTATCCTTGTCGGTCGGGACGAGGCCAAATTTCTCTTCAGCCTTGTCGGATATGTATAGACCAGCGCCCGCGTACGCCATGACACCGACGCCAATCATCATGCGCGTCTTGGGCGGTATGCCCTTGAACCATCTATGTGAGTGTTAGTCGTATAAAATTACACGATCACAACGTGCACGTACTGCCAGACAGACATGTCAAGGATGAGAATGTGCAACTGCGCTGCAGTGGTGTCACAGAGTTCGGGATGACGACGCATAGAGGGTCAGTGCCAAGCCTAGAGGAACCCTCAGACTCCAGCGCGACACAACCATATCGTTCCCATGCACCTAGCGCATCTTGAAATCACGATCGACCATATAGAAAAGCCTGTATTCTTCTCCGACGCGCAGGTCGTTCCTTTGGAGCCAAGCCTGGCATGATAGCTTGGGACGTTGGACATCGATTGCCGCACCTCCGCACCAGCTCCGCACCTTGAGAACAGATGTGCGCGCTATTACCACCCGCTTCTTGAGCGCATCCGGCAGCACCATAAGGCTCCTACCACTCTCCAACTATGCCCGGCTTTCGCCGCTGGGGCAAGTCGAAATTCGAGCGCAATCCCGAGTCGTCGTTCAAGCTCCTCGCAGCCATCATCGTCATCACACTGTACCTCCTCATCAAGGAGTTCCAGAACCCGACTGTTCGAGACAGGGGTATACCAGCGTTTGGGGCACAGATCCAGCATGCAGACTGGAATGGAACAGGCAAGGCGGAAGAGGCACGGGCGAAGAGCGTGCGGGATGCCATGAAATATACCTTCTGGAAGTACAAGGAGAACGCTTGGGGCTGTGACGACATTCTCCCTGTGTCGGGAGGCAATTCCTCGTCCAGAAATGGGTGGGGTGCTTTCATCGTGGACTCGGCGAGCACCTTGGCCCTGATGGGACTATGGGACGAGCTGGCGCATTCTTTGGAGCATATACTGGCTATCGACTTCACCGAAGCGAAGGACCTCGTCGACCCTTTTGAAACCACAATACGATACTTGGGCGGGCTCTTGTCTATTGTGGACATGTACGACGTTGGGCTCATTCCGGAGGATATACTGAGCGAAGAGGCACGCGACCTTGTACTCGAGCATGCTGTCACTCTAGCAGGGAAGCTTGCCCCAGCATACGATACTCCCACAGGCATGCCGTGGCCCCGTGTCGATTTCGACACAGAACAAGGCGAACCAGACCCTTCTTGGGTCTTCAGCGACGACCCAACAAAACACGGCTACGACGAGCATCCCGCCATAGGCCCTGCGCGGACCGGCTCCTCCATACTCGAGAACCGCATCCTGACCAGATTGACTGGCGATCCCATCTATACGCAGAACTCGACAAATGCATGGGCACCCCTAGTGTGGTCCAACTGGAAGACACCGTGGGCTGGTATGGTCGACGCGCCCATCGATATCATGACAGGCGAGCCAGTGGGTCGCCAAAGGCACTGGGACGGTGGGCATGATTCATACTACGAATACCTTGTCAAGATGACACTCTTGGCCCCTCGGACAGATCCTCATATCGGCACATACAAGCGACGCTTTACCGACGCAGCCTACTCCCTACGCAAGCATCTCAGTTCCCGGTCCGCACCTGCACCTGATCACTACATGCAGCACTTGTACATCGGGCGTCATAACGATAAGCTGTACGAGAATCAGCAAGGACACCTCGCCTGCTTCGCACCTGGCACCATTCTCCTCGCTTCCAGACTTTACGACCAACCCTACCTCCGAACCTTTGCGCTCGCGCTCCTCGAGGGCTGCCGCCACTCGTACGCCTCCACACCTACGAAGATCGGTCCTGAGACCTGGGCCTGGATACCCAAGTTCGGATACGACGATCCGCACTTTGTCCCAGAAACCGCACGTCAGGAGCGAGAGGCCATGAAGAGCGGCATCTGGTCGCTGGAACCAGCATATAAAGGCCGGCCCGAGTATGTGGAAAGTCTCTTCTACGCATGGCGCATAACGGGCGATCAACGGTACCGTGAATGGGCCTGGGAAGCCTTCTCAGCTATGGAAAAGCATTGCAAAGCGCCATTCGGCTACGCACAACTTGCCGACGTTTACGATACGCATACGAAGGGTGAGGATAGGTGGGTAGACATGCAAGAAAGCTTCTGGGCAGCGGAAACATTAAAATACCTCTGGCTCACGTTCTCGGATGTCGAGGTTGCAAGCTTGGATAGCTGGGTGTTCAGTACTGAAGGCCATCCGTTCCGCATGATACGGTAAGGTACGTCGTAACGGTACGCTTTGGAACAAGAGAGTAGGGTTGTAGCATATTCATCAGGACAAAGGCGACAAAACAAGGCATAGAAGGCCATGGGAACCTCCAACAGGTGAAAGGGGCAGTTCAAAAATAGAGCGCTGTCAAAGCAGCAACGGCGCAATGATACCCTAAGTCAGATTCGCATCAATAAAAAGGTTAAGAACATTACAAGCTCCATTCGCTTCCTAACCATCTCTCTTATCTCCCACGGCCTGTCGCTTTGCTGGCTCATGGCACCCATCCTCAATCTTCAGTTGTTGACTGTCTATTGCACTTGTATGTACTGTTCAAGCTGTCCTCAATCAAAAGTAAAGTGAGACCTAGTACAGTTGGGTAGTACGAACGGTCGAGTGTTGAGGACATTCAATATAGACATCTGTCAGGAAGAGTAACTTTGAGCAAAGGTGTGACAGCAAAGGACATCGCGTAGCTGTATTTATAGGCAACATGTCCCTTCCTGGCGAGAACAAGATGTTTCTACCAGATAGCTGAGGTTGACAGTGGAAAAAGATTTCCTCCAACTTTCAGCTTCTTGTAGCTATTAAAATCGATTTCAGAGGTGTATTCGACCAGTGTATATGCAAACTACACTTTTGCGATAATAAAGAAAGAAAAGGGGAGACAGGTATACTCATGTACTGTATATGGTAGAGAAACGTCAGTTCTCGTCTGCAACTGAAAAATACGCGTCAGGAGTGGGTGCAAATGATTAAAGAACATTATGATGAGTTTTGCCTTCGAATGTAGATCAAGGTGGGAATTGTGAACGTATGGTTCAAGACCGTCCTTTTCTCTTATATTCTGCTTTACGTTGTCTTCATCGTGTGCCGCAGTGATATCCAAATATCACGACTCGTCAATATAAAGCCATCTTCAGCAATTTTCCGTCTCCGCAATCCGAACCTTCTTTGCTAGATTCGATTCATAGTGCGGTGAAGCAACTAGTCATCCCAACTTTGAGAGTGTTCACACTTGCTGGTCCGGCTGATGCATTGCAAATACGTGCAGCTCAGTTTCTGGTGACTAATGAACATCTCGTATACTTCACGCGCACTTTTAGAAAAACGCCATTAAAGAAAAATCTTGATATAACGACAGATAGTTTTGATAAATATGTAAGAAAGCTCAGCATTAACGGCATCAACCACCACCGCCGCCACCATCGCCACCACCACCATATCCTCCGCTGTCACCACCAGCACCACCATAAAGAGCCCAGCCGGAATGAGTTCCACCGCATCTCGAGCTCGGCCTCACCACTTCCATAACTTTGGCATGTGCTTGCTTTTTGATGTTGGTCATCGTATGCGTAGGGCCACGAGATTTTGCTAGCTTCATCGAGTCGCCGCTTCCACTGCGTTCTGCTCCAATGGATTTGCTCGACATACAGCCCATTACTGACGATCGCTGTGGTTTTCTACTCAAATTGACGCTTTGTCGAACCGGCCTAACCTAGATAAGTGATTATATAGGGTGAATAGGCGATACAGCTATACGCACAAGAAGTAAGCGGTGACTAGTGAGCTTGAATAGTGAGCTTGCTATCGACGAAGCGATCGCTGACCAGAAGTATCTACACGAAAGAACTGGGTTATGACTACTGATGGCATGCTATCATATATCATCTCCACGTCGAATACAGCTGGAGAGCCTGGGCTGATTCCAGGAGCACAGAAGGTCTTGTGACGACGCCTGTGGCTTGCGCCTATCTGTTATCGCGTAAAGTTTTACGCAGCAAAAATTGGCTGCAACTCGGGTCCCGACTTTTGACAATAAGAAACTGCACACACTTTGGATACTGGAACCATATATTCGAGGCGGTAATTGATGCTGGGTATATAAACGATAGAACAAGAGATGTAAAAGCGAAAGCAGACCATCGCTAAGATCAAAGCGGAAATAAACCGCGCTGGAACCACGAACTACGGAAGAATTTCGGGACACCATCTGGATGCAGTAATCGGAGGCGTGCAAATAGGCTTTCTGTGGGTTTTGTCCGAAAGTCTGCCCTGTGACGTGCAGCAGACTGGGCCTCGGCACGGACGGACATTGGACGCGACCACCGAGACGGAGTCATTGGCTCGTCAACAATACCCGATCGTCCGGTCTGGAGGATATGCCTCCGAAGAGAGGCCGCATGATGTGTGCGGCGTTTGATGCATGAAAGGAAGTCCGGTGAGACGGCGAAGATTTATGCAAGCGCAATCGACGCTGATTGGTGTCGAGTCGGGACGATGGAAATAAATGTTTCGTACCCAGTGTCAGACCTCCATATGCGAGGGCACAAGGCTTTTGATATACCTTGGTTCAGACCGCACCCATGAGAAACTTCCAGTGAAAATCGGTACTGGTGATGTCAAGCGAAGGAGTTACGTCCCGCAAACTCGGCAGCTTTTCTACCCCATTGGTAGAACCATTTCCGTTAATCTTAGGAAGAGCTAGGTTATGGAGCAGGGAGACAGTCCGTCCTGAACCAGTCGCAAGTTCAAACGTATTGCCGTTTGGGCTTCCCCTGCCAACTGCATCGTGTAATGCTAGTCTCATCACCGATGTGATACGTCGAAACCGCTCAAACGCGTCTTCATGGGCGTCCTGGGCATCGCGAGGGCGAGGCATTTGCGAGGATAATTGTTCGCGGAAATAGTCGAACGACTTTGCGATCTGCAGTTCACCAGCATCCCAGCCCGGCATGGGTGAAGCATGAACTGCCAGCTTGTTCAAGCTAGTGATGGTGTTTATCAAGTTCAGCCAATCGATCAACGATACTGAATCGAAATGCTTGGTTGGAAGCTTTGTGCTGTTGTCGAGGAACTGTTCAGTCGACCGCACCAAGGTAACGCGTAGTGATAACTGGAAGCCTGAAGCCCAGGGTGTACTATCGCGATCCACGAGATCAATGGAAGCAGCGGTCCGATACAGATGTATGCGTGCTGCAAGCTGCAGCCATTGCAATATTGCTAGCGATGAATCAGTAACTATGCATCCTATCGTGGCATGGTTACTTACTGAAGTCATTTGCTTGCAGTTTGGACGCAAGACGGATGTTGTCCCATTTGTCACTCAATCGTTTGACCTGAGTACGAACCACGACCGCTTGCTCAGATTGATTACGAAAAGTCTCCTCCACGTCTTCCATGTATTGGCAGACATCAGTCAGTATTGGAAGCACCGCGTCCGACGTGTTCTCCCAGGAAGAAGCTAGTTCTGACGCGTAGTTCCGGAGTGTACTGGTATGTGACATAGCCCTTGCCTTTCCGGGCTCCATCAGACCTAGGTTGGAAGACAGGTAGTAGCATCCCAAATAGGCCCGCTTGGCTTCCCTATCTCTTGGGTTTTCCTTTTGTAGAGGACTCCTCACAGTCCTGGATATGCTGTCTAAGCCTAAGTCGTGTGCTATACCCAAGCACAGCTGAAGGAGCATAGTGATTGAAACAGCCTGGACGTCCATGTAGTGGTGATGCCAAGCTATGAAGACCAAGAGTCCTTGCAGAAGGTCTAGAGTCTTTTCACCTTTCATAATCCGGACCATAACCACCTTGCGGAACTCCAGGCTCAGTGCTCTCTGAAGCGAGACGGAATCATAAGAGGAAACTGTCAGCACGGCAAACATTAACATTGGCCGGCTCTGAAAGAGATCCTGGCAGCGGCATTCTCTTGATAATGATACGAAGGGGAAGAAGTCGACCATGTTACGGTACGTATCCAGCAGCATCTGCATATGCACTAAGCTGATGGATCTGATGACAGGATCCAGTCGACCAAGGTAAGACAACGTATCATTCATCGAATCCCAGAATGGCGCAGAAGTCTCAGATTGATTCGCGTGAGCCGGAAGAATGGAAGTTCTGGGGGCCGACGGCATGGACACAGGCTGAGCGGCAATTGGTGTTGGCGTCGGCATTTGCTGTGAGGAATCTAACAGCTGCGAAGGGATTGTGGCCACCGAGGGGAGACTACACTGCGTTGGAGTGGGTGCCATTGTTGCAACGATAGCAGATAACTTGTCCAACTTCTTGTCGAAGTCGCGCAGTTTGGTGGGTGTTTGGCCATCGCTGCGCGCCTTTGCTGGCCGTCTGCGCGCAACATGTTCCACACACTCGACTCTGGCCTTTTGGCATCTGGGGCACGTGTCATTCGATGTGGAGCAGAAATACAGTTGGGTAAACAAACCTCTGGCAAATGGCGGGCGTGTCAGATGGGACGCAGCGAACCTTGTGCTTTCGACAGCGCTCGCACGCAAAGGCGTTTCCTATTCTTCCTTCTTTTGCGTCCATGGCGGGGACTGAATTGGCAGTCCTAGGAGAAGGAGAGCCATCGGCCTCCGGCTGTGCGCTCATGTGGGGAAGTCCGATCATGTGGTGTGCCAAGTCCGGGGTCGAGCTTCGGTCGTGAATTGAGTGCCTCAAACGCGCGTAACGGGTGCACCAGAGATCAACGCTATGCTGACAGGGCAGTTGACAGTGCCGCAAGCCATTGCATTGGAACAAGAGCCTTTGAAATGGGTTCCGCCGAGGGTGTGTCCATGTGGCGGTGCGAAATGAATAAAGATACCTCGGGTAGTGTATGTCGGTATATTAATGGTCCGCTGGGAACCGGTTGCTTACTCCCGACAGCCTGGGGCGTGAAAGCCGCCTAATTGCCCTGGCGGAACTGGTCCGAAGCTCCATTCGGCACCAGTGCTTGATACCGTCAACGTTGCGCCTTAAATTGAATGGACGACGATGGTGATGGCCTCCAACGCTGGCGATAGCAAGCGGCGCGACGCTACTGTCATAGTGTCCTTGCGCTTCTCCGCCGGAAATTTAATCATGACTCACCTCTAGTGTCCCAAACCACGAAATGCCCTCGAGAGCTCATCGCGATTATCAAAAAGGCTTTGCCGGAAAAATAGGATGGGGGCAGAGGCCGGCGCTGCTACTTGTCGATGTTTGTAACGCCTACTGGAGCGACGCCAGTCCATTGGACACCAAATCGAACCCTGCGTCTGCGGCGGCGCCCGCGTCCATCGCAAAACTCGTCGCTGCCGCACGCCAAGGCAAGGTGCCGTTGATCTGGACGCGAGTCGAATACACGGAACCAGACATGTCGGATGCAGGACTTTTCTACAGCAAAGTACCGCTACTGAAGCTGTTCCAGACCGGCTGCGGCAATGGCCTTGAAAAATGGATTCCGGGACTAGAGCCTGCTGCTGGCGAAGTCGTTGTCTGCAAGCGTTACCCGTCCGCCTTCTTCGCGACCGACCTCGCTACACAGCTCCGGCTCTTCAACGTCGATACTGTCATAATCTGTGGCGTCAGTACAAGTGGTTGTGTGCGCGCGACTGCTCTTGACGCGATGTGTTATGGGTTTCGACCGATGGTGTGGACCGACTTGGCAACACATGAGTCGCTGTAAACGTCACTAACAATTTCACCAGGTCGTTGAAGAAGCATGTGGTGACAAGTCCCCTGCTGTCCACGATGCGAACATTGCCGATATCAACGCGAAGATGGCTGATGTCGTTTTTGAGGATGAGGCAATCGAGAAACTGGAGGCTGGATGGCAGTGAGTGTACTGCGCCGCCGAACCCGTCCCAAGGAGTGTAGCTCTGGCCGCTTTCTGCGAGTCATTCGTAGTCGCTCACGGTCTGTTCAAGCTTGCCTCCGTGATGGCGAGCGGGCACACCAAGAACGATATATGGACATAGCAAGCACCACAAGTCCAAATGGTACATATACAATTATTGGGTATACCTGCAACTCAAGCTATGTATAGACATGACCAAACGACGCACGATTTGTAGAACGTAATCCCAGTATCTGGCCTCAAGGGAGAGCCTGAAGCGTGGCACAGTGGTGGGTTCTTTCTCATTTTCCCGCCTTGCTTTGCAATTGCATACGTTGGGAATTGATTCCACTTCGACCAGCAAACGTTTCTTCACACTTTACTTTATCTCACTGTCTATCTTCAGGACGTACCACACTTTCACTTGAAATTGCTCACATCACTAGCCGACGAAGCCTCCCCACGACTGTCCACTCCTAGAGCGTATTTACGCGTTTGCTATCGAACACATCGTCACATTCCCTGGATTCACCTTTCAGGCTATGGTAGCTTGGGAGGCGACAAGAGACTATAACTAGCTCAACAATACCAATAGCTTCTCAAACCTGCAGAGAAGATCTCTCAAACGCTACCACGAAAGCGATCTCTAGCATGTCTCAAGAAAAAGCAATCTACCCGATATTGCATCATACTCCCGATCCTGGTGCAGAATCGATACCCAACTGTCTGTGGGAATGCTGCAGGTGCAGAAGAAGATGAGAGACAAAAGAGCTCGGCAACATTTGCATCGATTGCAGTAATAAGTACTGTATTGATTGCTGCCAACTTGCCGATTAGTTGATGTACAATCGTGTACTGTCTCAATGTCAAGGAGCATGGTAGTAGAAGGTGCAAGGTGCGTCAATATGCATTGTCTGGCTAGAACGCAGCAGCATGGCAGAAGAGTATGAACAGCAACACATTCAATGGATCAGACAAGGTGTGCTAGATGTGTTCGTTGGCGGGCGTTTATGTGCTATGGGTAAGTGTGATATGTGGGAAACCCCACTAGTACACATTCCCTCCCAGTTCTCCAAACTTCCAAAGGTAACATGCTCATGTTTCATTAGTCCCCCCTTTCCCAGCCGCGTTCTCTCACAATACGGTACCTCCGAGACCCCTCCGCTTCGAGGGATAGCATGCCTTTGTTGGATTGCATATCCGCTATGCACTGCTACAGTCTCCGAATAATCTAACCATGGCCTATACGGGCCGCTGGAATAGTGCTTCTCATCACTGAGTACCTAACGCCCATGGCAGATTAAAGCCTCCTTGAGAATTCGCCCCGTTAGATTTCTTCGGTCTCCACATGGCAAAGATTGGCGCAGGTGTCATCTCATGCGCGCACTTCCTCCATTCATCACTTGCCTCCGAGTCTTCGTTGTCAAAAGCAACCTTCAACAGAGACTGGAAACCGAATTTGTCGTAAAGCGGCTTGCCCATGCTAGATGCTTCCATCCAACATTCGAGGTCAAGCCCGTCAGCGCGTGTGATGCCAACATGCATGAGAAGAGAGCCAACGCCACGATTTCTATGAGCGGGATCCACCGCCATCCAATTGAGTGCTGATCATAGGTCAGCGGCAGGACGAAGATAATTCCTTTGATTCGTACAATCATATTTTTTAACCCAAAGATAGCGCGTTTGGAGAAAAGAAGAGGTGCTCCACTTACCACAATGGGGCCGCGTCATCCAATTCGCGCGCGGCCTGTACACCTGATTGAGAATTGACTCACAGAACCTCCGATGTTCGCCTTCGGGCCACCAAGGCGCGGTCAACTTTGGTATGCCTGCGACAAATGGGTTGGATGTCGAAATTACCCATTGCGAACAACCAACAGTCTTTTTGGTGACTGTATCGAAAGCGTAGAACCAATGGCTGGCGTTGTCGGCTTGGTGCTGTGTCCAGATGCGTTGTTTCGATTCAGCGATGGCAGCTTCGCGATGAGCCGTTGTGTAGCCAAGAACCGGAAAGAAGAGTTGCATAAACGGCTCGTAAGGTGTGTAGTTTGCAGCCCAAATAACCTTTATTATCTCATCCAGCTCTTCTTTTGTCTTTGCTTCTCGAATCACGTATCGTTGTCCCATTGCTGCTGACCGGTGTTCTGGTCAAGCGGCTCAAGCCATGGCGACATCGGACAGGTAAAGTAGTTTGCAACTACGCTACCTCGCCGCCGCTACGCATTGACAGCGCAATCGGAGATATAGCTTGACCCAAGTATTGGACATCGTAGATTGCCGTGTTAGGGTGAAGTATCCCAACAAGGAAGGTACCGTTGACACATTTAGCGTCTTGGCGAGGCTGGCAAGTAACAGCCTTGCGCCCCAGCACACCTCCCCAGATAGCCCCTCACCTTTCACACATGTTCCAGCCACTCGGTAACACTTGTATCGCTATCGCCATCTCCATCTGCTTGCGACCTTCCTCGATTGTACGGGGCGGGAAGACGGCTTTCTGGGCGATGTAACGATGAACCGAGGCTGGTCGCGTCGCTATTCATTCATGGTCCGAGCTCGGAGCGTTGTGGTTGGGGGACGTTCTCGTCGGGACATACTTGCGACATATGTTTGTGCAACTGCAGACGAGTTTTGGTTACACGCAATGGACGCCCCCCGTCTATGGAGGCGCGGAGGCTGGCTTCCTACCTTCACTTCACAAAGCGCATCGAAGAATGGAGCGGCCTCCAGCATATCAGCCAGTATGCAGCGATGAACAGGAAGAGATCTCAGCTGATTTGGAAGACAAGGGGGGCGTGTCGTGGGACTCTAAGAGTACTGAAATCATCCCGACTAACACACGAAGCTTCGTCGTGTACATGTCTCTTCTGCTGCTTTCTCTTTCAGCGAATATCTTACTCGTGATGGAAAATGCAAAGCTCCGTATCGCGCACATTCCAGCCAAGAGTAACTATAGTAAGCAAGGAGCCATCTAAGTCTCATTCTAGCTTACACATTTCGAAGGTGGACTAGCCTACGACACAACTGTGCCATATCACGCGATGACGGAGTACTGGCATCCGAACGCCAGTGATAGTGATATGGAGGCAGCATGGGACGCTATAAACACCAACGCTATGGCAATCACGCTCGAAGACGGATTCGCAAAACGTATGAGTCTACCTCCCTCTACTCGATTCCCATGGGATACTGAGCGAAGCATCTACTATATCAAAGGGATCCATGATCTGCATTGTCTCGTACGTATCCACAAGCTAAGCTGTACTTTAAATCGCTAACTCTGCCAGAAACTTGTCCGCAAAGCCATCGTCTCAAAGCACAAGGGTGACCCCCGGCCCTTCAATCTTCTTCACATCTACCACTGTCTCGATGGCCTTCGCCAGGATATCATGTGCACTGCGGACGATACACCAATGCCAGCTCCAGTTGCGCACCAAGGGGGTGATGGCCAGCTTCGACGGTGCCGTGACTGGGATAAGCTGATCTCATGGGCCACGCGTCCTGACCAACATGCTTGTTACGAATTCGACGATTACCGCGAAGCGACAAACACCCTGGAGAACTTCGCCTTCTGTCCACCGGAATCGCCATACCGGAAGTTTCAGGAGGCTTATTTCCAGTATCACGGACACAAAGACGCGTATGAACAGAGTGTCGACAGAGAAGAAATTGTAGTGTTCTAAAGCTGTGACTGGAACATAACTAAGAGAACAATGGCATGAGGACGGATTCGATTTTTTGCGCCAATTGAAATACGATTGTACCTTTCTTTGACTTTGACCGTAGTAAGAAAGACCGGTTGCTGTCAAAGTTCCGATAGATATGCGACCTGATATCGTTGGAGGCTACACCACATAATCAGCCTCAGCCCTGAGCTGCCGAACGTCATGGATCGGAAGTTTGTGTACTCTTAAAAATTCGTGGCCACGGGAAGTATCTACTCCGCTCTGTATATCACTGGACGGTCAATGTTATGGTCGCAGATCATCGACGAGTCTCTTGAACTGACTACAAGGCGAGAATGCAAGAAGCGCAGTGCAACGCTGATACGGAACCGGACGATTGTTGAAAGTGCCCGAGCTACCTCAAAGGCGTGCGTGTCTGAAACGTCGGGATGTCTTGATCACATACGAGAAGCAATGGTTCCGAAGATGCTACACTGGGTTCAAAGGAGTTCATACATATATTCCGTAGCGAAGGGCTGGAACCACACCATCTCATACACCACTTTCGCATTTGTAACCTTTTCCCTGAAGTAAGTAGGAATGCTCAAAAGGGCATGAACCTTCTAACGATGAGCAGCACCAAAAAGAGGAACTAAACATATTGTCTGCGATCCACCCACCATGCACATCACTACCGGTTTAATTCCGCTACTTGCCTCTGCGGTGGGCATCACTGCAGCTCCAACAACCCTGCATTCTGTCGCACGAGCCGTACCAGATATCAATGAAGTCGCCCGCAACCCGGCACCTATCGATGATAGAGTCAATTGGGATGATCACGGCAAACCGACACTTGGCGATATCAGTCACCTCAGTCAGGATGATACCAAGAAGCTTAAAGAACTCATAAAACATCTCCTTGGCGGCAGAGCGGTTGCTGATGCTGACAGCATCATCGTGGAGAGAAGCGTCCCTGATTTCCATCACCCAGCGAAGAACCCTGTGGAGATCCGTCCGTAAGCGTCTTGAGTTGAAGTACGAGCTCATGCTTTGTGGGATTCCGATCCAAGTAACATGTCAAGTTCCCAGGTTTGACTAAACTCGACGCATCTCACATTTGTTACGTACATGGAAGAGATGGAATTCTTCAGTCTCAAGCATGAGTCTCGAAGAGCGATGTAGCAGCATAACAGAATGCGAACATCCGTCACTTCACCGCTGCTTACGTGGGTTTTATCATTCAGCCTTGACCTTTGAACATCCGCCTTGGCGGCTGCCACAAACTTCTTTGTGCAACAATCTGTGAACAGCCATATCTGACAGATAGCGCCACCGTTGCGGCGGCCACCCGAATGCGACTTCGCCTATTGATGAGACACCACACAAGGTTGTGCTGTCAAATGTTCCACTGCCGGATTGCGCTACCACTTTTCAATCACGCGGTTACAAACAGACGTGGTACTGCGCCGAGTCCGATGTGTCGCAAGGTTCCACTAAGGTTAGCAGACCTTGGAGCAGGCTAGCAAGCGATTGCAGATTGACGAGCCTCCTACAAGCTATCAAGCTAATATACCGGCTTCTCTGATGCAGCTTACTACTCTAGCGCCCGACGTGTACCTTGAACTAACTTGCCAGCGTCTGTTAGCCTCACCAGACCTAGGCCGTGTAACAAAACGCCTGCTTTCACAAGGAGGCAGGTTCAGCCGAGTATACACAGATATCTAGTCGTCATTGCGTACTGGTCGCTTTATTTTGTTACACCTGTACAACGCTGTCCGACCGCTTGTCAGCCTAGTAAATCTTTGCCCAGCCAGCTCCCAATCTAATTGACCTCTCTCGTTTGCAAGTATGTGTCGCCTTCAAGGTGAAGAGCGGATAACGACAGTGTGTGCTGTACTGATTTTGAGTGGACCCCAAACGTAGGCTACCTGGCGGTATCTGACACTATCCCTCTATCAGATGGATAGGCGCATTGGGAACCTTGTTATCCATACGTACCAGCCGTTTGATTGCATGAGCACCAGTACTGACTGGCGCCCTTGCCCACCGCACATTCTGGTGTGTGTGTCGAGACTGTTTGTTCTTGCTGGCTGTCACTACCCTAAAATTTTCTTTTGGCGATTTGCGCTGCTCTTTTTGGTGCCCGATCTAATTACAACAAATACGATGCGATGATGGCGCCATCTCTCTTTGTTTCTTTTCATCACCCTGTCCCGCGCCAACCCGGAAGCAGCGCGGATGTCGGTCCGTTCGTCAATGTGGTTACTTGGATTCTCTTGATCACTTCCGCTTTGGCGGTCTTGACTAGGCTTATTACGAAGCGTGCACTCAGGAGGAGCCTTGATTTTGACGATGCGTTCGTTCTGCTTGCTTTGGTACGTCATCATGGGTGCAATTGCTCAAGTCTATGGATGTTTTCTTGCTAATTGATCTTGAGTAGCTTGCGAGTATAGGCTCTGGTGCATCGGTCAGCGTGCAGATCGACAGTGGCCTTGGACGAGATATTCATGTGTTGACTGAGCGTCAGATTGTGGTGTATCAGCAAGTAAGCATCTGATTCAGCCTTGTTGAGGCGACGTGTTCATTGATCGCGTTGCAGGCGGAATATGCGAACAAGCTGCTTTACATCGCAACATTATGTTTCGCGAAACTATCCATCATCTCGCTACTGATGATTCTGACTGAGTCGAAACTGCATCGGAATCTAGGCTTGGGTTTGACTGGATTCATCGCATTGTGGAGCGCGCTTTCCGAGGTCGTGTCGGCTTTCCAATGTGGCGCTATAGAGCCGTGGCGCTTTCTTGTTAGGGGAGGAGATTGCTTTGGTCTGGTATGTCGCAAAAGTAAGCTGGGATATCTGAGGCTGTTACTGACAATGTATCCAGGCTGCCTTCTGGCAGACGGTGGGTGTCGTCAACATAGTGACAGATTTGGCCTTAATACTGTTCCCAGTACACGTCATCATGACGCTACAGATGAGCACGAGTAAGAAGATCACTATCCTAACATTCTTTGGTGCGCGGTCACTGTAAGACGCAAAACATTCTGCCATAATCTTCCCCTCCTGACATGTCGCAGAGATATCGTAGCCTCCGCAGTCCAGATGGCCTACCTTCGTGGATTCACATCACCCAACCCGACTAAGGATCTTTGGAAATGGACACTTTTCACACAGATCATCGAGTGCATCACCATTCTCACATCATGTGTGCCTTACCTTCGTCCGCTCCTAGAATCTGTACCATCGGGCCTCTATGGGAGTGACGAGCTCCGACGTCGGGGTACATCCTCAGAACATGGCTATTCGCACAGTAAAAGCTTCTCGTATCAACTCTCAAGCACTACTTCAAAGGTGGGTGCTGGAATAAGACATAGTCATAAGAGTTACACGGAAAGCAACAGAATCAGACGATTCTTACCAATGCTTTCACAAGAGAAGACGACAAACGCCAATTCTGCATCCGGTGTTCCTGGAGGTCCTCGTCGTGCTGATGGGGAGATGGACGTTGAAATAACTGCTGTACATCACAAGCATGACCAGAAGCGGTGGGATGACAAAAGGTGGGAGACAGCCAGTACTGCAAGCCATTCCAAGATCTTAAAGACTACGGTTGTTAGCGCGCAATGGGAGGAAGCGGAGGTGAAGAGTTATGATGCTTCCAGCGATGAAATCGTGATCATGCATTGAATCGGATTCGCTAGTTAACCTTTTGCGATATCACCTTCGCTGAGTAATGATACCTTGCGATAACCAAATGAGCTATATTGTTTTATGATCTCCGACGTACAGTTCCCCAAAAGAATGTCTTTGGGGACTTCTCTCGATCAAAAGCACAATCGCACCACTAAACGTTGTCTCATCATGCTTGGAAAATTGTCCACTGAGGTGGTATCACAGTCACGCAAGCGATAGGGACCTTTCACTGTGCCATGACCCGTGAGCCAGGCCCATCTTTGAGTCATTCAGCGTTCTGGGGTGATACCGACCGCCTTAGCTCTCAAGAGACTCTAGTCAAGTGCTTGCCAGTCGTATCCGATTACACTCATACGTCGCATAAGCACGAGAGATCAGCGATAGCAATTGACCAGGTTAACGCCCGATCTCGGATCTCTACTCATACTTGAGTCCGCGCTTGTTCCAGTCGCCAAGAGGTCTTGTGCTTCCTCGGGCTTTCGTACTCCGTAGTATGCCGCAAAAGGAGTGTTTCACGCGTGCTGCACCAAGATGTAATGTGGCATGCCAGTAGCTGCACATGCTGGCATCCAAGAGTAGATAGAATCATGCAACAAGCATGGCATACACCTACGCAGGCTTCCGATAGCAGTGCCGCGTGTTGACAGACATGCTAGCCAAATCTCAGCTTGCACATCATCTGGTGCAAAGCGGCGCATCCCTTCCCAGGTAGCTCGCGTGTCGCTTGAGCCGTCGGGTAAGATATCGAAATACGTCATGATAGCTGTTGAAACCACGCGGATGTATTGAGAGGCGGATTTCCACGTGGGTCAACGATGACTAACCAGCTTCGTGGAACATAAGTGATCCACTCTCCTTTCATCCTCCAACAACTGCAACCCTCTTTGGCCATTTCCGTACCACAACAGATCTGCAGGAAGGCCTCGACTTTCGATCTTTACGGCATGACAGCGGTTGTTGTTGCCACTTGCTACCTGCTTAATCCTTGGTCCACATATAACTGGATAGCTATGGCAGCCCGTCGTCGCACGTTGAGAGACAAGTGCTGACGATGCCAGGTGCCTCTTATTGACTCCATTTTGTCTTGCAATCGAATGCTCTATCAACCCTCTTGCTAGTTGCAGAAACTGGAGACGCCGGTTTCCTAGGCATATGCACAGTATGATGACCGGGTGCAGATATGCATTCACCATTCAAGCATAGCCCATGCTGCTCGAAAAATACGCGAAGACGACTGGGAAAAACTTCGTTTGCCTCTACCACCTGAAAGACATATGAATGAGGGATCCACAACTATGCATGCCACCGCTTTTTGCAGCTTCGGCAGCCTGATTGTGCAACTCAAGCGCCAATCAACGCCCATTTACTGTGGACCAGTCACTCAGACTACGACTGCAGTGCGATACGTGGAATTGCGGGTTGCCGCCATCACTGCAGAGAGCCTCCAACTGCCTTTGCGGTGCGAATCACTGGCTTGGTGTCTGACTTTCATACGCTCGATTGCATTGCCGAACAGCCGCCTCCCGGTCCTCGCCTCTGCCGTCTTTGCAGGTGCACATGGCTCACGTTACATTTGGAAGGGGTATATATCGAGATTGACTTGCATAAAATATGCCCTGTATCACGACACACCTCCCGGGTATCTTCTTCTCTTTCCCTTCCTGGTCTATTTGCTTGCTGGAGACTTGTTACTGCGAACTGCCTTTGTTCCTTCTTGTTGCTCAACACGTTTCGGATTAGAAAACTAGGACAAAGGTTATCATGGAGAAGCATATTGACCTGCAGACGTTCGACCATGAGATTCTGCGGCAAAGGGGTAGAGGCTCCATATCGGAAGGGAGAGGCCCTAAGTTCGATCGCGACAAGTATGAGCTGGCGAGGGTGGGAAAGGAGCAAGTGCTGAAGGTATGAACTGCTCCAGGAATACGTACCTTCCGGATCTGATAACATCAGCGCCGCTTCGGACTGGTGTCTATGACTGGACTCTCATGCGGATTGATGTGTACTTGGGAGACCTTGCTTGTGTAAGTTTGCGTGACTGTCACGAGAACTCTTGCTGATATCACAGCAGCATCTTCTCTATAGGCTTCGCGAAGTAAGTGCTCAATGTTTTTATATTTCCAACAGCGACTGACGACGTCACAGTGGCGGCCCTGCTGGTCTCATCTACGGTTTCATACTTATATGGCTGGGTAACTTCTCCGTCTTCGTCTGTATCGGCGAGCTTGCCAGCGCAGTTCCAACTGCTGGTGGACAATACCATTGGGTTTCCTTGTTAGCGCCACGGTCGAACAAGAAGTTCTTCAGCTATCTGACTGGTATGTGCGGTATTCGAGACAGTATTAGTCTGTTCTGATTCTTCTTAGGCTGGCTCACTGTCGTTGGTTGGATAGCAGCTCTTACTTCCGTGTGTTACTTCGTTGCCGACCTGATTCTCCAACTGGTCAGTCTGAATGATCTTGACAGAACCTATACTCGAGAAGGATGGCACGGCACTCTTCTCCTTTGGGCCATACTACTGTTATGTGTCTTCATCAATGTCTTCATAAGCGGAGCGCTTCCTACCATCGAAGTCGTTGTATTGATCGTCCACGTTCTTGGCTTCTTTGGCATTCTGGTGCCATTGGTATATCTGACTCCCATCCACAACTCTGCTAAGCAGATTTTCACGACATTTCACAACGAAGGTGCTTGGAACACACAAACTCTAGCCTTCTTTGTCGGGCTTCAAGGTAATGCTTTGGCATTTGTTGGAACGGATTCAGTTGTTCACGTAAGCCAAATAACCTCCAATGTCACATCTCACTAACGATCATAGATGTCTGAAGAGGTCAAGAACGCCAGTACCGACGTCCCTCGCTCGATGCTTCTCAGTCTTGTCATAAACGGTACATTAGCACTAGGCATGCTTTTCGCTGTTCTCTTCAGCGCACACGATATCCCAGCGTTGCTTGGCGATCAAAATGCCGCGACCGCGCCCTTCCTCCGCATCTTCAAAGACGCTGTCGGATCCGAGGCTGGTGCTACTGTCATGGTTGCCATAATCGTTCTTCTCGAATTTTGTAGCGCAATGGGATGTTTAGCCGCTGCATCTCGTATGACTTGGTCTTTTGCTCGAGACCGTGGTCTTCCTTTCTCGCGTGCTCTCAGTGTGGTGAGCGTCTGCACCGACAGGCTTTCAAAGAGTGTGTAATTAACCAATAATAGATTGACAAGCGCAGCACAATTCCCATAGTCTCCATCCTAGTCGTCACGGTATCAGCCGCCCTCCTCGCTCTGATCAATATCGGCAATAGCGCTGCTTTTAACGGGACAATATCCCTCGTCTTGGAAGGTTTCTACCTCTCCTACCTTCTCGCAATCGGTCTTCTCCTCTGGCGCCGGCTCCGTGGGGACCTAGAGAATCCTGAGTCTTCGCTCACCATTTTCAATGAAACTCAAATCGACGAAGCTTACGATGGCAGCCTGACCTGGGGTCCTTGGCGTCTAGCAGGGGCGTGGGGTGTGGCCAACAACGTCGTCGCCATTTGCTATCTCACCTTGATCATCTTCTTCAGTTTCTGGCCAAGCGAGGTCAGTCCCGATCTTGTGCATATGAATTGGGCAGGTGTCGTGACCGGGTCGGTCGCCTTGTTCAGTGTGACGTACTATCTTCTCTTCGCAAAGACGTCGTACATTGGACCAATTGTGGAAGTGAGTCCACATGCCTTGTAATCGGAGTTGGACCGATGGCTACCAGTCTCTCCGGGTCTGTTTCATCTACGCGATGAGGGATGTTTAGAGAAAAGCTCTTTTCCTGACTGATGGTTGGTATTTCTGTCATGTATGTTGCGTGAATCAACCAAGTGTATAAGGTTGGCACGTTGGCTTTTCGAAAGAAAAAAGGCAGTATAGACTGAGCAGACTATTCGTTCATTATGGTTCACTAAGATCACGAGTCTACAGACCACTGAACCAGGCATATATCATAGACATGCTTTGTAGTCGTAATAATTCATTATCATACATAACTCATAACCTGCCCATGAATCCTAAACATGATGACATTTGCCTGTATATCCGCGCCTTGAAGCAAAAATGATACTCATGAACAATAGAGATTGAGAATAGAAGAAAAGTCCCAAATAGCCAGCCGTAACTCGTTAAGAGACGTAAGAAAGAAGCTTTCTTGTGATAGCCCAGTACCACCCTTTGCCGCGTTCTAGTTGTAGCGATCCAGAGATACGGACGCTTATTTTGGTTCAACAATCTGAATCGACCGATCAAGACAGAGCTCCCATAGCCAGCGCCACGATCTTGGGGTTTGGGCGATCTTTCCGTACTAGTACTGTAACCACCGAATATCAACGAGTCGTTCTAATGGGCCGAGCGAACAAGGGCTAACCTACCCTTTCGATCTCTGTCAACGCGCATAACCTCCTTGCGGGGGGTACGCTCGACGAATTCATACTCGCGGTCGCCTTCGCGCTCGTACTTGAGCATGCGACGTTCCTCCTCCAGGAAACGGATCTCGTCGCGGATTTCGCGCTCAGAACGGCGATCGTCTCGGCGGACGAGCTGGCGGCCTTCTGGGAGGAAAGAAGTCGCTGGTCCGTGGATGGCGGCTGAGCGGTCGATTTCGACGTAGCGCTCATGTTCGTGGATGGATGGGGAAGGTGCACGCTCTGATGGCGCGTAGACAGTTGGCGCGTGGTGAGATGGTGGAGGTTGGGCATAAACAACCTGAGGTGGAGGTGGCTGAGCGTATACCACTTGTGGAGGTGGGGGTGGTGCGTGTACTACAGATGGCGGTGGAGGAGGGTAGTATTCTTCAGGGGGTGGAGGCGGAGGGGCGACTGAAGCTGGTGGAGCTACCGAAGCTGGCGGCGGTGGGGCTTCATCGGCCTTCTCCTCATATACGTAGGTGATTTTCTCTGCAGATGGTTAGAAAAGATCGTCCAGAGATGATGGGATGCGTACCCTCTTTGTAGCTTTCGCTGATCTTGATCACCTCATCGATATGCTCCTTTTCGAGTGCTCGGGTAACAATGATGAAGTCGTCCTAATATGATCAGTGACATTCTAGTAGTGTGAATGAGTGGCATACCTCTTCTTCGAATGGGTAGCCCAAGTCGATAACAGCTTGCTTCTTGACCAAGCGCTTGGGAAGCCTCGTCTTGCCCTTCTTGCCCCAGGTCGCACGGGAAGGCTGGATTTCTTCAAAGCTGGAGATGGAAGAGCTGCGTGTCGATTTGGCTGCTACACTCTTGCTCCTCCGGACCCTGCTCTTCTCACGGTGAACTTCGACCTCGCGGTAGTCTTCTCGCTCCCGGCCTCTTGCGCTGCGGTCGTCGTATCGAATTTCCTCAAAGTCATCTTCCTCGTGGAAACGACGAGGGGGTGATCGTCGACGCTCGCGAATTGGAAGCGGGATGGGAACATTGGCTGGTGGTCGGTACTCGTGGTCTTCGTACCTCTCGTATCTCTCTACATCGCCGTACCGTGGCATGGGCTTACGGTCAAAAGTGTCGAGAGATGACTGTCGTCGGATATACTGCGGCCGTGCCGGGCGAGGCGGACGTGGGAGCGGCCCCCGACGCTCGTTGATGTCAATATCGATGTTGATGTCTTTGTCGATGACGGACCTGCGGCGGTACGGAGCAAGCGCCTGGTTGACAACTTCGGACGGGGTAGGCTCATGGAACAACTCGGAGGGGGCGCGGCGACGGGGGCGGTCGAAGCGCTCATCTTCGTGGAAACGTTCTCTCTCCATGACGGCAGGGCCTCTGCGTGCGCGGTCTTCATGGAAGTCAATATCGCGATGGCCGCCGGGAAAGCGATCATGCTCTTGGAAGCGGTAATGGTCGTACTCATCGCGACCACGGGCACTGCCGCTAGCGACGCTTCCACCGCCGCCGCCGCCTCCTCCTCTTCTCATGCGCTCAAACTTTTCGCGGTCCCATCGCTCACCGCCGCCACGGGGCGGCTCTTCGAAACGGTCGAGGTTGCCCGTTGAGGAGCGGTACACGGACATGGCTGAGGGGTCGAGTGCGGCTTGTCAGTGGTTGTGTGATGATATATGAGGTATGGTGCGGGGCTGCCGGTTATGTGTCGGAAGATGTCACAAGGGAACAAGGCATGTACTAGGAGCGCCAGCAACAGTAATGCGACAGACTGACGGTGGCGCAACAAGCGGATCAACGAGAATATAAGTGTCTTGGATCTAAGTCTCGCCGGAGATTTGGTGGTGTGTGGGTGCGACCAACTTGATATGCAGGATTCGCGACGGGCTTCGTCATCGGCGCTCGCGCATGCTGCACTCCCTGCATCTGGCCTGGGCGCTAACTTCTGCCATGACTGGAGCGACGCACCCCTGATATGCCTTGGTTTCTCATTTGCCGCGGAGTTCCCCATGGTTCAGTTTCATGTGAATCCATGTGGATTCGGGCTCATGTTGGGCATGTCCCACTGTCATGTGAGGTCTCTACATCTGTTCAGTATCGCCGGCAGAGACAAAATACTTGGTTTTGTCACCCAACGTCGTTTGGGTACACCAGGCTATCCTTACCGTCAGTGTCTGTCACTGACCGCATTCGAGGGGATGCATGTCCGCAAAACGAAGCCTTGGTTACCGATGACGTCAGTCCCGGAGCCTGGAAACGGATCGCGGCGCAGCTATCCGCTTAGGTGCTGCCTTAGCCACGATGTAACTGTGCTACAATGCTCCAGCCCGTGTGTCTGAACGCATGGACAACCAACAGACATGGATGGAATTTTCCATGGAACTCTGCCATGTTGGGCTGTCAAAGCTGCCACGTTCCGAGGCCACGAGCGAGTGGTAACGATACCCCGCAAAGCGACATGTCCACCGAATTGATGGATCTGCTCAACCAGGCAAAAGCAATTTTCAAGGCATCATTTCTGGTGTCGTAATTTGGCCGTATCTTTCGTTACCTCTTTTGGAGAGGAGTCGGTAGTCTACACAGAATTTGTACACTTGTTCTACAATCATCCAGCCCCCACCCAGCGCATCATGTCGTCTATTTGGCCCCAACAGCTTCTTGTATTTTCTTTGTGATATACTCCAAGTCAAACGGTCGTCCTTTGACGCCTGCCATGACTTTGCCCATGACGGCGCCAACATTCCTCTTGCCCTGCTCCAATCCTTCGACTGCGCTATTCACCAACGCGTCAATCTCGCTCTCCTCTACTGTTGGAATTTCTTTTGCATATCCGTTCAAGACATCTAGCTGCGCCTGCTCCTTCTCTACCAGATCCTCCCTCTTCGCATTCCGGAACTCTTCAATCGAGGCCGAAGAGGACTTGATTTGCTTCTGGATGAGGGAATAGAGGGCACCATCAGTAGTGATTGGCTTGGCGGTCTTTGAGGCGTTTATAATTTCGGCTTGCAGGGCACGGATTGTGTTTAGAGCAGGCTTGTTCTTTGCACGCATGGCCGTCTTGAGGTCGGACTGCAAGCGGGGGAGAACAATATTTTCAGGCGTAGAAGTGGATGAGTAGCGGAGACACATGGATCGGGGAGCCGCAAGGAGCTGCCTTGGGAGCATTGTGGTGCGAAATAATGACATGGTGAATGTTGCAGCTGGAAGGAGCAACCACAGACAGCGTATGCGACGAGTTAGAATACGAAATCGATCCGAGGCGGAGAGATTGAGTTGGGGCGCGTGAAACGTCGACAGTCAAACACTCCAAGCACAAAAGTTTGGACTACCCTAACGCGCTCTGACGCGAATAGCTAGCATCCCTGCGCGCCAAGCATCTCTTTTGTTGTGGACCGCCGTCACTTTTGCACCTTGTGCCTGAGCCTCAGCGTCGCAATTGCGCCAGAGCACTTTTTTTGATCTCCTTCTCTGCGCGCCTTTCTTACCTCGACACCACCAAAGCCTCCGCGCGCAGCTCATGTACACGTCATCTCCCCGGCGCGTTCCCCCAACCTCCATCTGAAGCTCGCTGTCACCCGGGCTACGACCAGCGCAACACGTCAACCCCATACGCAATCCATCATGGCCTTCCAGATGGCGCCTGCGACTCCGCAACGCCCCACGCCCGGGGCGTTCGTCAACACTCCTGCGCCCAACCGACCTGGCTTCGCTCGAACAGGTTCCATGTCGCAACCACCACCGCAGCAACAGCAAGCGCTGCCTGCACCGCCAACAGAGAGCCCGATCGATCGCGCATCGCGGACTATCAACAGCATGCTGGATCGAGATAACCGGTTTCCCGCTCTAGAGGCGTACATCGGACGTGAGTAGTCACGTAACAGTCGTACAAGCTTGCTGAAGTGCTAACAAAGCCGCACAGAGGGCATCTCGGGCGAGTATGAACTGCCCAACAGCCCGGCGTGGGCGCCGTTCCAGAAACTGCGCTCCTACAAACTTCCAGAGGCCGTCTTTGAGCAGGTAGACCACACGCAGATGTCGACGAGCATGGGCCTGTTCGCTGAGATCAACCACGCCTGGGTTGTCGTGGACAACCAGGTCTACCTCTGGGACTACACACATCCAAACCCTGAACTCGTTGGATTTGAAGAGCAACCCAGCAACATCACATGTGTCAAGCTCGTCAAGCCGCGGCCTGGCGTCTTTGTTGGCACTATCGAATACCTACTCGTCGTCGCGACCGTTTCAGACATCTTCCTTATCGCTGTCGAATGCCAGCGAGGTCCCGAAGGCGTTCACGGCATCACAATGTACCGGACTGGACTATCGACTTCGGTCAGGAAGATCAATGTGACTGCAATCGCCGGCTCGACAACAACCGGGCGCATCTTCTTTGGCGATGGTCAGACCGAGGACGTATACGAGCTGAACTACCAGCAGGAAGACAAATGGTTTTCCAGCAAGTGCAGCAAGACAAACCACGTCACAACCTCCATTGGCCTCCCAGCACTGCCCTTTTACGGACCAACGCGACAAGCCGGCATTCAGCAGATGGTAATCGACGACACCCGCAACGTCCTGTACACACTTTCTACCAACGGTACTATCAAGGTCTACTACATGCGCGCGCCAAACGTTCTCGAGAGCTCTCTCACCCGGACACGAACACAAATCGAGACAATGTGTGGGCACATTGTACGGCCGACAGGCGTCCTGGACAAGATGCAGATCGTCCACTTGAGCCCCATCTCGAGTACCGAAGCAGACAATCTGTCTTTGATGGCCACAACATCGTCCGGATGTAGGCTGTATTTGAGCACGACATCTGGTGGACAATGGAGTGCCAACAGCACCAGCGCACCAAACAGTATGCAACTACGACACATTCGATTTCCTCCCAACGACGGTCAGCCTTCGCAGCAGAGCACTTCAACTCAGGTGCAGCCATACCAGGGAGGCACCGCGGTCGGATTTGAGTCGAGATATCTTAGAGAGACCACTCTTGCAACGCGGTACGCGCCCGGTGCATTCTTCTCTTTTGTCCTACGATCGCCAAACGACCAAAACCATCATATGTTTGTTTCCGCCCCTCACTCTGGGCTACTGGGTCAGCGAGAAAGCTCGGAACCTCCACGATACACCGAGACTGGCTTGTATACAGAACTCATAGGCAGAGTACAGGACATTGGTTTGGTGTCAGAACCCTTTTCGGCAAGGAATGAACCTCTTGGCTTCGGCAATGAGCTTTCGACCCAATTCGACAAACCCCTGTGCGAATATGCAATCATCACATCGCACGGCATCGAGACGGTCCGACGGAGAAGACTTGTCGACATATTTGCTTCCATTGTGAAGAACGGAGGCCAGGAGGGTGCTGAAGGCGACATCCGCAAGCTCGCGAAGCAGTACGGTTTGGCCGAGACTTCCGCTACGGCTTTGGCTGTCGCGTGCGGTCAAGGCTCAGACGTCGGACCCGATTCGCGCATCGCGAAGGTTACTGATCCCGAGGTCATTGATTTTGCCCGTAGAGTCTTTATTGAATTTGGTGGGAAAGCACATCTGACAGAGAGCGCGACAGTAGAAGGTTTGAGTGTAGAGAATGTCCGCGCCTCACCGAGACACGATGGTATTGCCATGTATGTGTCGCGCATTGTCCGGTCCATCTGGAATACCCCTATCATCGCGGAGACTGCTACACCGACCGGACCCGCCCTCACATCGACACATCCAATCGCCAAGTTGCAAGAAGTCCAGCGTTCTTTGGCTCAACTTCAAGAGTTCCTCGAATCGAACAGGTCTTTTATTGAAGGCTTGGCTGGTCCAGAGGCACTCGGACGTGCAACATCGCGACAAGAAGAAGTAGAGCTCCAAGGCGAGAACAGGGCGCTCAACAGTTTGTTGCAGATGATTAACAACATTGTTGAGGGAATATCCTTTGTCCTGGTACTCTTTGAAGAGCGCTTAGAAGATATTCTGGTATTGCTGCCAGATCCTCAACTACAAGGAAGAGTACGCCAACTCACCTTCCACGGTCTTTTCTCTGTCAAAGAAGGTAAAGAGATCGCAAGAGAGCTTGTCAAGGCTATTGTAAACCGCAACATCACCAAGGGTTCCAACGTTGAATCAGTTGCCGAAGCTCTGCGGAGGAAGTGCGGCAGCTTCTGCAGCTCAGACGATGTTGTCATCTTCAAGGCGCAAGAGAGTCTGAAGAAGGCCGCCGATTCTGGCGCGAATGCCGAACGTGGACGCATCTTGCTCAATGACAGTCTGAGACTGTTCGAGCAGGTGGCGAAGAGTCTGAGCTACGAGAACCTGGCTGCTACAGTCAATCAGTACATTCAACTCGAGTTCTATGCTGGTAAGCTCAATTGACTATCCGTTCTTCGACAGTACTAACGTGCCACTTAGGTGCTATTAGACTTGCCCTGAAGGTGGCTCAGGAATGGGATCGAGGTAACAAAGCGTTGTCTTGGATTCGAGACAAGAGTGATAGCAATGTCGACTCGAATGACGCGCGCCGAGAATACTTCGACAAGCGCGCCTCTTGCTACACGTTGATCTGCAAGGTTGTCGAAGCTGTGGATCAAGCGTACAACACGCAGGGTCCCGTGCCCGATGGTGTCATTTCACAGGTCACTCGTCGCAAGCACGAAGCTTACGAGCAGATCAACAACTCAGACGACGAGGTTTTCCAAAACTACTTGTACGATTGGTACATGCAGAACGGCTGGGCCGAGCGATTGCTGGAGATCAATTCTCCTTTTGTAGTCGACTACTTGCGGCAAAGCTCTGAGACAAACCTGGCACACGCGGATTTGTTGTGGCGTTACTACGCTCACTACAACGACTACCTCAGCGCTGCTGAGACACAATACCAGCTCGCCAAGAGCACCCTACCCCTGACACTGGAGAAGAGGATAGAGTATCTGTCGCGCGCAAAGGCCAATGCCTCTACACGGATGAATGGCTTCGCGGAGAACGGGGTACGCAACAGGCAGTCAAGACAGGAGCTCCTAAGAAACATCACCGATCACTTGGACATTGCGAATATTCAAGACGACGTCTTACAAAGAATCAAGGGCGATGAGCGACTTGCTGGGAAGCGAAGAGAAGATGTCATTGATCACCTCAACGGCCAGATCCACCCTCTTGACGAAGTAAGTTTCTTATGATACATCACTAGTGATGACTTTACTAATACTTCTCTAGCTTTACCACGACTATGCCGATCAAGCGGCATACTACGACATATGCCTACTGATCTACCACGCTGCCGACTACCGCAGCGTACCCGATATCCGCTCGACGTGGACTAATCTTATTGACCAAACTCATCGGAATGCTCTGGCTGATCGTCAAGGAGCTCCTTGGGAGATCGTCGCACTGAAGGTCGAGGACCTCGGTCACCGTACCAACCTTAACGACAACGTTTTCCCAGTGAACATCGTCCTGCAGCTTCTTCTCCAATACGACCTCGAGTTCTACGTACACGATGCTAATGCGCCAAATGCGCAGAACCTTGCACTCAACTCCAACCTCACGTGGCCGATCGATGTATTCCTCAAACTTCAAGCGCCATTCGAGAACCTGGTCGCCACTCTGGAAGCACTATGGTATGCACAGGAACAGCCTTTTGCTGGTCGTAACCGCAAACTGCTTGTTAAGTGGATCATCTACCTCGTAGAGCAGTGGGGTGCAGTAAGCAGACGGACTGGTGCGTTATTTGGTGGTCCTGAGAACGCCATTGGTCTTGCGGAAGTAATGCGCATCATCTTGAGCAGCGATGTCTTGGGGCGAGACATGGATGATCAGGCTTGGATCCAGCGGGCGAGGGATCTCAGTGCCACGCTCGAGGAAGCTGCGCGCTGAGAAGCCGTGAGCTAAAGAGAAGGGGGATCAGAGTGAGAGCGTTGTGGAGATATACAGAAGCGATGATTGCGTATTTTGGGTTGTTTTCTCTTCGTTAGCATTCTTGCAGCGCGAGGCGTTGAATAGGTGGCATGAGGATGGGATTGGCGTCAAAAGCATTGAATGTATTACAACCAATCTTGTAGGACATAAGACGAAGACGGAGCATAATCAAGGCTAGCGTATTCTTGAATGAAATATTGTAATGGAAGGACATTTGACTGGATCTATAAGACGTTTTGGCAGTGCTGATCTAGCAGCGAATCTGATGTCGGACTTTAGCAAAGCCCCACAGCCAAACACCGTGCCGAACGCTTTCCACAAGCATCGTCACCTTCCGCATCCTCTCCAACACTCCGCGACCTCACATCTCGCGTCGCAAGCAACAAACACACACCCGTCCTACCTCCTTGCGCCATGTAACAACCGCACGGACTATCATTCTCTGCGATGCCAATATGCATATCCTGTCGCACCCCCGTGCGCACGCTCTACACGACCTACTCCAAAGCCGATGACCGAGCCCTGGGAAAAGGTGTCCGCCTAACGCAATGTCCTGTGTGCAAGAAGTTTGCAGACAAATACGTTGAACATGACTTCGTGGTTCTGTTCATTGATCTGGTATTGATCAAGGCGGAAGTGTATCGGCATTTACTGTTCAATCGGTTGGGGAGGGACGATAGTCGTTTTGATGCAAGTATTCATTCACGTTTTGGAGAAAGGTTAGGGCTAATATAAGGTCTAGCGCTCGATCTTGAGACTGGGAATACTGCTTCTCCTCTTCGACGTTTATCTAACATGGGCGCGTATCGAGAAGTTAGCTCTCCCTGCCACATCTCCGTACCATCCTTCGCCGCCCTCCCCTTCTACGAACATGACGTCGACTAGCCCGCTTGTGCCACCACATGACGGGATAACGAACGCGGTGGTACTGCAAGCACATCCACTTGGCCTGCAATACCTGTTCTTCCTCTGTCTGGTCACGCTGTCCACACTGGCTTTCCATCTACCGATACGTGTACTGTGCGCCTTTGATGCGGAGCGTCTACCTGGTGCAGCGCGCAGACTCTGGCAAAAGTGTATACCGTATTTCTCCTCTCCGACGCCTTTGTCAACCGCTCTACTTGTCAGTAGCTGCACAAAGTTGTTTCCTATACTGCTGATCATCTGGGATTACGATTTGCCTAGTTCGGCGACGGCAGTTAGTTGGGCGGTGATAGTGAACAACATCGCTGCGCTGGAGATACTCATGGATTGTGGGTACATCAGAGCGGGTATGTTGGTTGGTATTGGGGCTGGGCTGAGAACGCTGGTGGGATGGGGTATATTGAGAGCTGCGGGTTTGGGTACTGGATGGGAAGGATACTTGAGTGAATGGACGATTGCTGGCAATGTGTGGGATTGGGTCGGAAACGCGATTCGGTAAAATAAACATGAGCGTTCTGGTTGCAAACAATGATACCCATTTGATATTTGTACAAGCCAAGAAGCTCCGTAATACGCCAAACCAATTGTACACATGCGCTTAAATGTTCATCAATGCACTGCTTTGGTTGCCCATAGCCAACGACACTAGATGTAGTTCGCCAGTACGCAGTTGCTCCAGCATGATGCATCCTTTCGGTATATGCTTTGGTGCTTTCTGTCGTCTGGTGTAGGCTACCCCAAACCGTCGTTGTTACATGCATATTCCTCACGCCTTTATGATCCACAAACGTAATGCGCTAGCGTCCTCCATTGTATTCTGGCCGTAAGTCGCCTCGGATAGGCGAGATAAGAGGGTGGAGTTGCGCGAGGAAAGTAATAGCCCACATGATGTACATGGCAGCAGCAGACAGAACGAGCGTAGATCGCCAGACCCTATCCAATCAAGTTAGCTCAATATCTCTCACTTCCTCCCTGCTTCTCAAGTTCTCATCTCAGATATGGACGGGGAGGTTTGCTCGCTGTCGTTGCCATCGCTGCTCGTGTCGTCGACGAAGCGGACGCGCCTGCCTCCACCAGCACTTCGATCCTCGGGGTTGGCGAGGGGCAGCTCCAAAGAGGACTTGGTGCGCAAACAGGGCTTTGTAGGTGTGGGTGTGGACTTGGGCGAAGGGATGTTGTGAACGTACGTTTGGTTTTCGCCTTTGGGAGCTAGGAACCACGCTGCGCCGCAGAAGATGACGGTGACTATGAGCCCGATGATAGGTGCCCAACTGTCTTGTATTAGTTTGATGCTAGCTGTAGAGCTGCTTTGCGCGGAACTGACCCGTTCGCCATTGTGGTTGCTGGGTGATTGATGCGCTAGTTCGACCGTGTATGGGGTTGTGTGTGGCGATGCGACGGCTTGCTTCAGCGCAAGCTTATTGTCAACGGATGCGGTGGTAGAGTGGATGTAGCGGGATGGCGATGTGGAGATGCCTTTGGCGTGGAGTTGCGAGCTTGGGAAGCTGCGATGACGCCTATCCTCTCAGGGCGCGTTCCACGCTAAACGCCGAGAATCACGTGTTGTCCCCATTGTTACCTAGACGGCCTCCAAAAGGTCCTCCAAAAGGTCCTTCATCTCTATCTTGACTTCACACGTATTCTGCCTCACTGCAACTCTCCTCTCTCAATATAGAAGTATCCAGGGAGCCCATGGAAACCACGCCTCATTTATGCTCATATTGTTAGTCTTGCTCTCACATGCTGTTACTATCCCAATACAGTAGGTCTTTGTGCTCTTCCCACACCTTCTCGCCTCATTTCATGGCGAAGGCGCCAGCTGGGCTTTTGGTCCGACACGTATTCCTCTCATGATTTTCCACCATCTTCAGTACGTTCTTAAGTACGAGACATGTCCTTGTATCACATATTCACCTTCATCCCACCTTCGCTGACACTTGGATTTCGAACTTCTACGACCTCCTAACATGTTGACGAGATGCTCTCAACATAACAGCACCCTCACATGGAAGCTGCCGACCTGAAAGTTGCTGAACCAGAGCCTTCCTTTTGCCTCAACGATGCAACCAATCGCCGTACTCAACTACCCGCTCTTGCAATTTTGGAGAAAGACTTATTATAGCCTCATACTCTTACCTGGGAAGCTCATCGTCCACGCGTCTCTCCAGCCTCACTATGGCATGATAAGAGTCTTGGAACTACATTGTAGATCGACAGGCGCCTGTCCGGTGAACATACCTGGGGTCAGGCACAAGGCTTGGCAAACCGATTTGGGATGCAGGTACAATGCCTTGTCAGATGAATACATGTACCATCTCCGGATCTCAACCCAGACAAGTACATATAATCTCTCAAGTATTACTTTGTACATGTAGAGTTCGACAGATACCCCGCCTGGACACTTACCAATGACGGACGACATGGCGCACTTGCGGTGTGACAGTGCCGCAATTGTCCCGCATATCGCATGAGTTTACTGCACAAACCCCGGGAATCTTCGGGAAGGCCTTTCCATGGATACTGCCGCTCCGACAGCTGCGTCACTGAGGGATGATATATAATCAAGGGAATCATTGCTGTTTCCTGGATAATGCGATCGACGCAGACTCGATCTCGATACTTGGGAGCTTGGAACAAAACGAAATAATAACTATTTTCGGCCCCGCATCAAGACTTCTGGAGGACCATGTTCACCGTCATCGGATGATGTTTGCCAACACCTGCAGGCAGGTAGGCGATGGTTCCGGCTGTTCGTGAGGCCAATAAGCTTTATAGCCCCAGACGCGAAGAGCCAATAGCGGAGTCTTGCTTCAGTCTTTTGCTGCAGACTTCGCAACATTGTGGTCTTCAATATTTCGAAGGATCAAGCAAGGAGTATCCTGCCTACAGCCCTGCCACTGTTCATCGCGGTAAATGTTTTGAATTGCCTCTACAAGCCAGCATTGAGGACCCGCATTACTTGTGGACGAGCAACTGCCTCACTTTATGTGTGATCGTCGATTAGTACACACGCTATGCCAAGTTGCCGGAATGGCTTTGTGCTTTTTGTAACCTAGGCATACTGTCGAGCGTGCCGCGACCGTGTAGCATCACACCAAATGACAAACGGTCAGTCGCTCGGCGCAGTCATGGATATTCTACGTAAGATAACGAGTCGAGTCACTATCATTATCGCCTCATAAAAAGTGCAGGGTAGAGCGCTTAGTCTAAGTAACGTCGTCATCCGAGGATAGGATCTCTGGCTTGCGATGATTCGTGGCGTCATTTATCCTGGGGTTCTATTGAATGCCCTAGAAGTACGCCAACTCACGTTAGTGCTAGGATATAAAGCTGCTAGTTGCAGTTGCATAGACATGGTAACTCAATGTCAAAGCGTTGTACGTACAGCAGTGCACGGCTAAGAGTCGCTAATCACTCCAGTCCTAGCACAACAGCATATCAGCATGCACATCGCCCACACGATATTTGGAGCTTTTTTATCTGCTGCCTCGTCCCAGAGCCTCATCTCAATTCAAGTAAAACCTGGCCACGTTTCGTAATTCTAAGCTTATCCTTGAAGTCCTTGTTCAATCAGGTTTTTGAGCCTCAGGCCGAAAGACTGCATTGAATCCTCCCACATCTACGAAATTAGAATTGAAAAACATTCCTGATTGAGGTATCAACCTGTTCGATAGACAACATCGTCAGAACGCCACTCTTTGTTGCCCTACACGACGCCAATATGGAAGGTGATGACATTGTCTTTGTTGAGAACGTGTCTTCTACTATGGATATCGGCAACCACCTAAAGGAGGCAGGAGCCAAAACGTGTCAACCTAGCGAGTCTACGAAACATGATAGAGATTTTTCTGCTGTTACCGAGCTTCCAGTTCGTATCGACTCCAGTCCTTCGAGTCTGGAGAATGATTGTCCCCCATTGTCATCCCCAGTAAGTTGTCTTTGACGCAATATGGAGAAGGATTCTGACATTCACGACAGCCACCTCCTCCACCTGTATGTTGCATAGTCTTCCCAGTTTGTTATGGTAAGCTGACAACAGAAGCCGCCGCCGCCGCCTCCACCACCTCCTCCGCCGCCTGCCGGAATGCCGGCCTTTCCTAGCATGATCGGAATGGCCCCTCCCGCTTCATTCCCACCACCAGTAAGATATGCGTGTTCTCAGGATGTCTTATACTGACCCTTCGAAGCCACCACCCCCACCACCCGAGCCGCCCGCTGGCCTAATGGGGACATCTTTCAATCCTACCGCAGAAGTCGACACGCCGAACCAGTTCATCCAGGTGCAATATACGAGCGAGTCTATCTCTGACTTTTCAAGCCGCGTAATTCGTATCGCGCCTTTTCGCCGCAATGTCTTGATGACGAGGCCTTCAGCCCACGTCGCAGATTACAAGGAGTTTGAGTGGCTTCTGAAACACGGCAGTTCCGAGATCTGGTATGAGAAGCCTACCAAAGCACATCTTAGAAGTATCAGGACGCTCGAGGCGAACCGGTGGGCGCCGGACGAATTACTTCCCCTGCTCAACGCACGGCCAGTCAGCCTGGAAACTCCCAAGGTATGGGCGTCAGCAGCGATGACAACACCGACAGATGATGATATCTTTGAGTGCACTGGCGGACATACTACCCATGATGGATATGCTGGAATATGTCGTGAATGCACTGAGACAAAGTCTGAAGTACTTGAAAGCATTCCGCTCATCTACTGCTTGGTCTTCAGCACTTGTCAAGCTAGCGACCCATTTGTTCATGGTGCCCACTTCAATGGCCGCCAGATCTACAAACTTTTCAAATGCGGTAGTCGCGAGGCTGCCGTCGCGGAAGCGTTCTATGCGGCTGGAGTCAATGGCTGGAGTCTCGCTTTTAGCTGCGTGATGAAGCTAGGTGAAGAGTTTGAAGAAAGATCTGGGACGGCCAAGAAGGTCAATGAACTGTGGATGCTGGCTGAAGAAGACGACGACCAAAAGACCATCAAGGTTTTCTACTAACCAACAAAAAAAGCCGCTTGTTTTTGGGTCTGATTTACTTTGAGCTTCTGTAATTCTTTTCGATAAATCTCCTCCTCTCCAAATCCGCAACTTCCGGCACTACCACGACAACAACAACCTGCGATTATCGACATAGTCAGCCAGGCCCCGGCACATACTCAACCAAAGCTGCTGGAATGGACCCGCTCAGACCTCGTACCACCTCTGACGCACGACATGAAAACTCATGTATGGCCTAGAGGTATATGCAATCCAATTTGAGGCGCATATACTGGGTGTTACATGCGTGCCTCAATCGGTCCCTTGTACGCCTAGTACAACATTGTCACCTGCCAGCAGTATCGTCGAATCGAACAAAAAATCGGCGATTAAGCATGACCAAGTGCAGGTTACAATCTCCTCCAATCGGCGTGGCCCACGATAACTGGCGTGTTGTACAAAGCTAAACCCTCTTCTGCTTCTTCACTTGCTGCACGGCTCCTTCACATTCGGTGTCCGTATCAATATCTCTCGTCTCTTATCTCGATACAGTTTCTTTTCGCTATGGCGTTTTTAGGCGTTCTTGTTGGGATACGTGTAAGGCTGTACGATAGGAACGATTAGCATTCGGGCTAGGGCGCTATCGAGCTGACATCGGCGTCACGGTAGACATGCGCTAAGGGGTCATTATTACGAACATGCTGTTGAGAATCTTGGTGGAGCACGAAGCGTACAAGTATAACGTTGTTTTTGTATTTTACACAATTTCTTAGGCGGACGGACATCATGGTGGTACGATATTCCAATGCAAGTTATTTAAAATCGATGTCGTGCATAACCCAATCCATGCATAGTGATGTGTTCAACGCATGAGCTCCGATTATCAATAGTTGTTCTCCTGTAAGTTTGGCCCCAGTCCCTTCGCTTCATTTGTGCTCCCTGAAATTGCTGCTTATGCCGGAATGCATTGGGTCTCCATACCAATGCATTTCATGGTAACATCCTCAGATATTTATTCTAAGATGGAATGGTTTCACAGCTCCTTCTTTGTCACCGGTTTTAGTCCTCGGTGTAGTTTTGCGATCGTCTGATCCAGCCTGGCATAGCAGTCTAGAGTCATGAAGATACCTGTCCCTGTTAGCTTCATGGAAAAAATATCTCGCATTCTTTTCAGCAGTCTTGGTGAGCTGAAAACCCTTATAGGCAACTTACCGGCAGCCAGGTAACCCCCGTACATACCACCCAGTCCCTGCACACCCCTCTGTGCCGACGTCAACTCATTCCAACTCAGCATTTCTGCCAAACAGACCAACGTCGTCAAACTGGTCTCCATACCGAAGACCAGCAGGGCAAGAGGGACGCGTGGATCGTTGCGCAACAAGGCGGGAATGGCCCATATAGTTACGGGAAGATGATAGACAAGTTCAAGGAAAGTTAGAACGGGGAACCAGGCTGGAGCGTTATAGAAGAAACGGTCGCCATATGTAGCTATGTACCAGTCGCGTAGAGAGGACATCCAGAGGGGTTTGATTTGGATTGGGTAGTAGGCTGTGAGGTCGAATGCTGTGACAAGTCAGTACTGATCAGTCTCTTTCCTGAAGGTGGAGACCGGATGCGTTGACTCAGGAAGCCATCAAAAAGTTTTATAGAACACAAGATGCGAAGACGTCTAGTCCTCGTGTATGTGAAGTTGCTACGCTACTGAGAGAGGCTTCCAAACCAAACATTCATGTTGATAGACCCACCTAGCATTACTGGCAAGTGCACGATGAAGAAGACGAGATAGATCAGATCACACTTCCGCTGGAATATAGAGACCGCCATGCTTGCAAAGTCAGTTACGTGTCGTTGGAGAATTGTTGGTGTTGATGTTATTGTCGTGTCTCAGCCGAAGCGTCCTACGCGTTTCCGCTGACACGCCATCGAGTGGGGCTTTCCTTCCCCACGGGCCGCCGTCGTTAGCTTCCATCGTTCAGTTACTATCCCATCCGCATCGACCGGTTGCAATTAGGGTAGCGCGACAGCTATTACGAGTAATCGACAGTATCTTGTTCATCCCTACTGTAATGTCCCTAATGCAAATTCCCGGTTCTCCGATCGAGCTACACAGGCTAGAAGGTTGCCGGCAGCACACAATCGCTGCAAGCGTCAGCTGCATCCTCAGGAGATCATCTCATGTACCGAAGCCAGCGACTATCGAGGGGTTTCTCTCTGCATACTGTGTTCCTTCTCGATGAAACCAGTAGCCGTATTGGTGGATTACAACCATTTGAGCGCCATGCCTTTGCTTGCGTCAGCGCTCATCCTTCAGCCGCCCAGTCTGTTCTTAGATTCCATATTTGCCAACGGGTGATGTGCAGTCATATGTTCAAGACTGTTGGTTTGTGCCTCTTATGTCGCGACTAAGCTACTGGAGCTGCCGTTTCAACCGTAGGAGGATCTCTCGGAGCATCATGATGTCGGCGTTCCGCTCCTACGAAGTCACTCATAACCGATCACGCATCTCGTCTTGCCAACAAATTTAGCCTAAATCCTCCTCGGATGGACCTTGGCACCCGGCCCACAGCAACAGGACGACATCAGCGGCGAATACATCAGGAGCGGCACATAATTGCCAAGGATGGTGGAGGCTTACGTTCTCTTCCGTGTCCAATAAGTGTACTTGAAGCCTTGGCTTGGCACTCCTCAAGCCGTGTTCTACATGTTGCCCAGAGACCGTTTCCTCTTGGTATGCTTAAGGGGTTAAAGAGCACTTATTACCGATGCTCTGGAAAGATTGTGGACGCCTGTTTCCCCACACTGTTGCGGTCTTGTCACTGGGGTCCTGGATGATTGTGCAGGTGGTGGTGCGGGCTCCTGCACCCCATACATAAGCCTGGGGGCTCCAGCGTAGAAATGTAAGCTTTCTGGTGGCCTGGGACACAGTTCAGACGACTTCGACTTGAAGCTTTTATCAACCTTCCGAGGCGTTTCATATCGATCATCGGATATCATCATGGCTGGGGGAGGCGGCGGTGCGACAGGCTTCGATGCCGCGCTTCAGAGACGTCAAGCCCTAATGGGTGCAAGTGGTCCTAGGGCTCTGGTAAAGAATGGAAAGGTGTTTCTCATCGCCTTGTTCGCCTGTCTTGGAGGAGTGTTGTATGGTTACAATCAGGGCATGTTCAGCGGAATCTTGGCTATGCCATCTTTTGGAGCACGTATGTACTCCCGAATTCTATCCTCAACTTGCGCTGACAGTGAACAGAAACTGACGGCTATGTTGATAATGCAACACAAAAGGGATGGCTAACCGCTATCCTGGAACTCGGTGCTTGGTTTGGAGCCGTCATGTCCGGTTTCGTTGCTGAGGCATTTTCTCGAAAGTATGGTATCTTGATCGCTACAGCAATCTTCATCATCGGCGTTGTGGTGCAGATCACTGCAATTTCCGGTGGACATGAGGAGATTCTAGCTGGCCGCTTCATCACGTTAGTAATGCCTAAACCAAAACTAGCCAAATTCTTGCTAACCATTTGTAGTGGTATCGGAGTTGGTGGTCTCTCTGTTATCGTTCCCATGTACAACAGCGAATGTGCACCTCCGTAAGTGCCCTTGAAGACCCCGGCTTTTATCCAATGGAGCAACATGCTGACTGTCTTCAGTGAGGTTCGCGGTGCTCTTGTAGCACTACAACAACTTGCCATCACATTCGGCATCATGATCAGCTTCTGGATCAACTACGGAACCAATTACATCGGGGGCACTACATTGGAGACTCAGTCCAACGCGGCGTGGCTGGTACCTATCTGCCTCCAGCTCGTGCCGGCTTTTGTTCTCATCATCGGCATGATCTGGATGCCTTTCTCCCCACGTTGGCTGATGCACCATGACCGCGAAGAGGAAGCTAGGAACAACCTTGCATCCCTTCGCAACCTCCCTGTCGACCATGAGCTTATCGAGCTGGAGTTCCTTGAAATCAAGGCTCAGTCCATGTTCGAGAAGCGTAGTGTTGCTGAGGCCTTTCCCCATCTTCGAGAGCAGACTGCATGGAACATCTTCAAACTTCAGTTTGTTGCCATTGCCTCCCTTTTCAAGACTAAGGCTATGTTCAAGAGGGTCATCGTTGCTACTGTCACCATGTTCTTCCAACAGTGGACCGGTATCAATGCGGTACGTATGATTTCAATACTTACTTTGACAGTTTTTAGGATATACGCTGACTCTCGATTGATCAGGTTCTCTACTATGCGCCGCAAATTTTCGAGCAGATCGGTTTGACTGGTACCACCACGTCACTCCTTGCTACCGGAGTTGTTGGAATAGTCATGTTCATCGCCACCATTCCAGCTGTTTTGTACATTGACAAACTGGGCCGTAAACCCGTATTAGCCGTCGGTGCCCTTGGCATGGCTTTCTCGCACTTCGTTATCGCCGTTATCCTCGCCAAGAACATTGACAACTTTGCAAACCATCGTGCGGCTGGATGGGCGGCAGTAGTGATGGTGTGGCTTTTCGTTATCCACTTTGGATATTCTTGGGGACCTTGTGCTTGGATCTTGATCGCTGGTAAGTCCATTCGTCTACACTTTGATGCTCTCTAGTCTAACGATCGTGGCAGAAATCTGGCCTCTGTCCACACGACCATACGGTACTGCGCTTGGTGGATCGTCCAACTGGATGAACAACTTTATCATTGGACAGATTACCCCGGAATTACTCGAGAATATCACATACGGAACATACATTCTCTTTGGAATGGTTACCACAATTGGTGCAGCATTTATCTGGTTCTTCGTTCCTGAGACGAAGAGATTGACTCTCGAAGAGATGGATACCATCTTTGGTAGTGAGGGCACTGCGCTCAAGGACCAGGAGAGAATGGCTGAGATCAACCATGAGATTGGTCTTGCGGCACTGTCGGGTGATGCCTCTTCTGGGAATGAAAACGCTGTTGTTGGGAATGAGAAAGGTATTGTGTAGGTGACGGAGGTTATTGAGTTGAGGCGAGTCGTTCGTTATTCGAAGGAGCTTGAAGCTAGCTTAGCTGGAAGAACAGAGAACTAGTGTCGGTTCATAAAATTCTATGTCTTTGGTCATATGGCTTTTACAATATTGTACATCCCCATAGGCAACGTTGATGAGCTCGCTACTTTACGACCTGACATGCTTGGTCAGATCATGGAACTCTAATGAAAGTCCCCCAACGTAGCCATCAAACTCTGTCTAAAGGCCTCTTGATCCACAGCTCTCCCAATCAGCACCAGCTTTGACTCCTGACTCCCGTCATCCGGTTTGGCGTCTAATTCGTTCGTGTCGTAGATAGCCCTTACACCCTGCGTAAGAAGTATCTTGCCATCCTTGACTAGAACACGACCCTTCAAGCGGTGTATCTCAAAGGGCTTATGGTCAGCTTCAGTAGGCAGTGTCTCCTCCCATAAAATATTGCGGAGGAACAAATCGAATTTGTCGACTTGGTCGCGTGCCAGAGCAGGAAAAGAGATAGTAGAAGTGGTGATTGTTGGATCGAGGTGACTGTGTCCCTTGCTTGCGAACTTCAAGTCTGCATCCGTGACTTCGTCGTAGGCGTGAAGGTCTAGTACCAACCCTTCTAGCTGGGGAACCTGGCTTTTAGTTGTCGTCTTGATGCGAGCGAGGCCGTTAATAGACCGGATGCGCTCAGTTACTTGTTGTAGTTCTTGCTCGGAGACTAAGTCGGTCTTGTTGATGATGATCACATCTGCGTGACTAATCTGCAAGTGTGCTGTTGTCAATAGCGGGCCGTGTTCGTCATGAGCTTCCTTCTTTCTCTCTTCAATCTTCTCTTCATCGCCTAATCCTTCATCTAAGCTCTTCAAGACATTCTTTGCATCAACAAGTGTGACGATACCGTCTAGGAAGATGCTGCTCCCTAAGCCATCGTCGAGCCAGAACATGGGTGCGATGTTTCCAGGGTCTGCTAGGCCAGTCGTTTCGAGGAGGATGTAGTCGAATAGGCCGGATTGCTCCATTAGATTCTCGATGGCTGCTACGCCAATGTCCTTGACGGAACAGCATATACAGCCGTTCGCTAGCGGTACAAAAGGCGCTGGTTGGGCAGACGTGGAGTTTGCATCGGAAACAGTGAGCTGCTTCTCAATGTCAATTGCTAAGGCGCGTTAGGTTGGTGTCTTGCCTGAAATGCAAGGGAGCATACAGTCACCAAACTCATTCAAGATGACGGCAATCTTCTTGCCATGCTGCTCAGTCAAAATGTAGTTCAGCAAGGTCGTCTTTCCCGCGCCAAGATATCCTGTGACGATGGTGATGGGCACTTTGCTCTGGGGTGCATCGTCTGAGCTAGCCACAAGGGTGGGAACATCTTCATCCTGATCCTGGATGACCTTGGTGTTGGTCTCTGGCTGAACGAGACTGGGTACTTCGTCGTCTGATACGTTTCCGTCCATGGCTGGCAGATGACGTCGTGAGGTGGGCGGAGTCATGTAGAAAATGGTCCACTGAGCCCGCGATGAAGTTAGCGTGGTCGCGTAACGACTAGCTGGAAGGACCCCTGCGACTGCCATGCATCCGCCTGGGCAAGCTCCAGATGTCCGATGTCAACAACGCACAACACCCCGCCTAAGTGATCACCGACGTCTACAGCCTTAGCAATCGCCCTTTCCACTACTCAATCTCGCGCCGAAATGACGTCGCCTGCTTCGCCCCGTCTTCCCAGCCCACCACCCATTCCAGAAGACCAGCTTTCACCGGTATCAGCGTCGCCAGAGCAGCAGAAGCTGTTCAGTAACCTCGACCATGCTGCGGAGCGGAGAATACGGCCAGGGACCAAGGCAGAGGACATGGCCGAGGGACCTCCGCTCGTAGACTTATCAGAGGTGCGCTGGGGCAGACTACAGCAAAGACGGTGCCTGATTGACAAGATGCGCAGATTGACTCGGCCTTCCAACTTACCGAACACCTTAAAGCCCTCCACAATTCCCTGACGCACCCTGCTGGCTCCAACGGCACCGTACCAGTGGACAGAAGCATGGCACTCAAGATTGCACAATCGCCAGCCAATGTAGACAGGACTCTGTGGCTATATGAGCTCTGCCGCTTCCTCATACAGAAAGTCAACTCCATCATCACCGCCCTCTTCGCAGACGACCCACCTTGTTCTTCCTTGACCTGTCCAGAGATGCGCGCTTCCGAGTGGCAGTACCTGTGCGCGGTACACGACCCTCCCAAATCGTGTTGCGCAATCGACTACTGCTGCCACACCCTCGACTGGGCCGCCAATACCCTCACCTCGCCGAAACACTTTCCCTCGAGGCTCGCGCTAGGCACCGACCAGTCGACGCAGCATTCGCAAATGCGCCAGTTGACCAACATCTTCAGACGCGTATATAGGATATTTGCGCACGCATGGTACTCGCACCGAGAGGTCTTTTGGAAGGTCGAGGGACGGACAGGGCTATACATCTTCTACAAGACAGTCTGCGATGTATATGGTCTGGTACCCGAAGACAACTACACCATCCCTCCAGAGGCAGAGGGCATTGAACCATCAACAGAGGCAAAGCCATCAGCGCCACCTCTGATCATGAAGCGAGAGCCCTCCGATTCATCATCACAGATTTCAGTCAACACGCTGGCAGAGGGCATGTCAGATCATACGCTATCAACAGCCGGTACAACCAAACGACACAGGCATTCGCCATCAGTGGGAGCTACTATCGTGCAAACAGTTGTGGAAGAGAACGAGGAAGAAGAGGAACGTCCAAGCTTACAATCACGGCCTGTTACTCAAATCTTCGAATCACCACAAGGAGAAGAGGAACACGAAGATGGCGACAGCGATGGAGATATCACAGCCATCGAAGACAACGAAGAAGAAGACGACGACGACGACGAAGACGAAGACGAGGATGAAGATGAGGCTGAGTCGGTCCCGGAGATAAGTCCACCAGAAGCCAAAGACGCCACAGATGAAGCAGCAAAGCAAGGCGCAAGCGAGGAGGAAGTAGCGGGTACTTCGCCCGAAAAAGAAGAAAAACAAGATACAGATGTCGCGGCAGAGCCAGCATCTACCGAGACAGCCGAGGTCAGCAGTAAGGACGCCCAAGATACCGAAAAGGAATCATCGCAGGACGATGCTGAAGCCGACAAGGATGACAGCAAGCCTGACACTGCAGATTCGGAGCAGGTGAAGAAGCCTGACTCTGCTGCCAAGCCATCCGAAGAGGGTGAACCGAAGGCTGAGGATTAGCTTATCTCTGATCTTGATTAACGAGGAGGCAGCCTACTGTATTTTTAGCGTAGGGGGAGATGGAGGGGATAATGACTTGGCAAGGCAAAAGACTGATGTTATTCTTGACATCAGTCTACACATAGTAATTTCACACGACATGACATGTACGAAGAAATTTGTTTCTTCTGAATCGTATCCTCGCGCAAAAAGAGGGATCCCAGGTATTCGCTGTCACTACTGATGTAATACTTGCAGAATATTGCAAGTATATACCTTCAGGGTAACTTTTCTAGAACCGGAGATGACTTCCGGAACACGGGCTCCTTCGTAAGAGGCGCCGCATTACTTCATGATACGTCACATCGGTGCTTGATGATAGTTGGGACCAAACGATGCGTAATGGCGGTGCATCATTAACAAAGAGATGCACAGTGGTTCCCTCAAGACTATATCTTAAAGACCAACCAGGACAGTAGCTCAAGTAGCGGCGTCTATAGTTCCCGCGGGGCGCCTTATCTCTGCCCATGAGACTTGTATAGACAGGGTCAATGCTGGTACTGATCGAAAGTGGAAAGATACTGTTGCCTTGAAACGTGGAGGAGGAACAAAAGCAATGCGATGCTATGCTGTATATTCTCCGTGGTGGCTGGCACCTCAGTGGCAAGGAAGGGAAATTTTATCTGTACAGAGCCTTGGTCCAGTCGGTGGTTGGGGGCGGCTTTCGCAGAAGGCAGGCCTCACTCATCCACGTTGTCGTGTTGTACAGCATGACCTGTCCTGCAACGTCCCTAAGGATAGGTAGGGCTGATGAGGCTCAAACAACCATTTGCTGTCTTGATCATACGCAAGTAGAGTGATGTATAAATTGACAAACATCAAATTTGGGCAGGCGTTGGACGAGCTGCTCGCCGAGCTCCGATTGCCGCAAAAGCATAGGGTGACTCCCGGCCCGCTCCTCATTGGCGGGTCCCGTCCGTAGATGCGTCTCTCGTCGCGCTGCGCGGCAAGAAGATCCTGGGGTAGGGCGCCCAGCATGCAAGTATCAATTGGAGGCCGACGGGCCGAGTTTACGCTAGCACTTGGGTAAATGCTGGCGAATGGGACAAGGGCCGTGTGTGGCGCGCGTGTGATGAGGTGTGGAAATTAGTTGTTTGTTGGGCCATGGTGAAGGAGTGGTTGGGCTGAGCGATGGTAGAGTGAGTGAGTGAGGACCGTGACTCATGGTCTACGGGTACGGAAGGAATGAGCAGTATCAGATGTCGGAAGGATGACTTTTCGGACAAGGTCTGGAATGAAAAAGTGTCCAAAGCTGCTTGGTGCAGAATCTCGTGCAGCTCCGTGCATAGGGTGCATGAACAGGCACATGCTGATATCGACGGTTCGATAGTCCAGCCAAAGAGAAGGCGGGTTTACGAGAAGTGGTGACGGCCATGGAGAAGGGCACATCAGCTAAATGTGCTTGAGCAGCCCCCACGCGCCCGCGGTCGCCCATCCCACGCCACCGAGGGCTGTCGCTTCTCCACACTCTGATGCTCAGGCTGGGCTGCAGGCGGGCGCGAGCATTATATCACAGCCGCCGTGGATGAAAGTTAATTGCTGACGGCTGAGCCTGGGTTTCGTCGGAAGATTCCAAGGTTGGCTGCCTACCCCTCACTGCCTGCCAGGAAGGCTGGAGCACAGTGCAGACGACATTATCCACTGCCACGGCATCTTGGTTCTTATCGCGGCTACTGCGGACATCAGGCGTAGGCCA